GAGGACCCCTGGCTTGAAAGAGGGGTCAAAGACGCCATCTTGTGTTAAAACCGAACAGCCCTCTCTCGACAGAGGGGGAGGGATACGACACCACCTCTCCTGTCTCCAACATGGTCCTTGCAGCAGTCCCAAGAAGGTCCCAGGCCCATCTCCACACTAATATACAGGTGACTCTGAGGGTACAGATAAGCCCCTAGGTGGCTTCAACGGCTCTCAGACAGCTAACGACCAACCTTCGGAGTACTAACGACCAGATGACTGCAAAGAATATAAATCGTTCCACCCCCCCACCATTCAGCCAGAACTGAAGAAGCTTCTTGGATGAGAAGCGAGGCGGCAAAAAAAAAAAAAAAAAAAAAAAAACCCAAAGCACAAGCACCGCCCCCCACACACTGATCCACGTATAAAGTCAAGTCACAGAGTGTCCGGTTCATTCCACTATATTGGGACACACACCCCCCCCCCAATTACTGTATGTGCCTGTGTACTTTAACACAGATGCACACAGTCACCTAAGATCTATTGGGACCTTTTTTTCCTAATAGACCTTAGCCTATATTACTCTATGTGTCTGTGTTAAAATACACAGACACACAGAGCAATATAGGCTAAGATCTATTAGGAAAGCCCCAATAGATCTTAGGCCTAGATGACTGTATGCAACTGTGTCAATGTACACAGGCACATACAGTTAATAGGCATATCCCCTAATATACAGTATATGTTTATATATCTACATATTACCATATATTAAGGTGTATGCCATACTAAGGTTACCAGCTCTGGGCTGCAAAAGGGAAAAAAAAGCCATTAGAGGGCAGCAAATTACATTTGGCACCATCTAGTGGCCTAAAATATTTTTGCAGCCCAGATCTGGTAACCTTAGAGCAGTCTTTTTCAAACTTGGCCACCTTAAGATGGATGGCTTTCAACTCCCAGAATTACGTGGGCGTTGAAGTCCCCCACATCTGACAAGTTTGCAAAACACTGCCCTGGCTCTATACACACTATACATCTAGCTGCACGTGTGCATCTTTCTTCTGCAGCTCTACTGTATATATATGGGCAATCCAGGGACCCTCCCTCATGTCACAATTTGCCTCTTCAACAACAGTTTTCAAGAAGGAAGTTCCTAGAAAAGGAAGTGTCTGGATGGGGGCATCAGGATACCTCCAGAAGACCAAAACCATCTTCCTGTTCCTGAAAGATTCCTTTGGGGAAACTGCTGGATTAGCCCAATTGGAGTGAAGAAAATAAGGACATTGAAAGTTGCCCAGAAAAGACCCTTTTGCCCATATATACCAGTCACTTTTCTCCTGATTGCACAAGGACTGCACACTCTCATGTGCTAAGGCCTTGCCCGAGTTCTCTCTGGCCACCAAGTCCCATCATCCTCAGCCCATGTTGCAATGGCTGAGAGGAATACCTATGGTGCTGTCCCTGCTGGTTTGGCAGCTGCCCTAGCCCAGCCAGCAAGGAGGCCCCACAAGATGACTTGTGACCAGGCCAGCAAAAACTAGCATGGAGAATGGATCAGGCAAAGATCCCCATGCTGCACCAAGCTAGAGATGTACTACAACTCCCAGCAGCCCCAGGCAGCAGTTAAGGAGGGCTGCTGCTTCGGCAGTCCTGGTGCAATCAGGCAAAGTGCCAGTGGAGCTGGAGAAGAAAGGATACTTACACACACATGCTTGACTTACCTGTGGCAGGATTTTCTCCAACTGGGATGGCCTCTGGATCCTCTCCTAATGTGGGATTTTGCAAACCAGCACCCCTGACAATAAAACAGCCATTTTCAAGCACACCAATCCCCTCATCCCAAGACCAACACTCAATAAAGATATTTTATTTACAAGAAAAATGCTCCCAAAGTCTTTTCTTCTTCTCAAGATCTCCAGAAGTTGCAGGTAGCGTCAGCGCCTGTTCCGGAAAGGCAGCACTAAACTATTTCATCTAGGTGCAAGGAATGGAAGCCCTCCCTTCCCGCAGAATGGTGTCTGCACATGTGGGCTACAATGTCTTACTACCTCCTGATTCTTGGGCTAAAGCCTTTATTATCATCTCCTAATTCTTGACTATCTATCATGGTTCCTGTTAGCCACCATCTCTTCTATGTTCCTACAGCGCTGTTATTAAAGCTGTGGAACCCCAATGTGTTCACCCCCCCTTCTTCTGCTGCCTGCTTGGCCAACCCATGGCTTCCGAGCCCTCCAAAGAGGTCTCCAGGAACGCCATCCTTGGGGCTCTCCTTCTCCAGGGTCCAGCTCAGCTGGACTTCCCTGCTTCCCACCCTGCCTAGATGTTGTCATAGGGGACCACAAGGCCAATGTTGTAGCTGTAGCCGGCCACTTCGTTGTAAGAGGAGCGGCAGATAGGAAGGATGCTCTCTGCCACCAGCCTGTCTGTGGAGAATTCGTAGGCGTAGATAATGCCTCTGTGCCTGTTCAAAGAGAAGCAAGGGGAGAAGAGGGAAAAGAAAATAAGCAGGGTGCTTTTCAACCAGCCTGGTTCCCAGCAGTTCAAAACCCTCTGGAGCAACTTTCCAACCTTGGCAACGTTAAGATGTCTGCACTTCAAATTCAAGCTGGCTGGGGAATTCTGGGAATTGGCCCTCACCTCTTAAAGTTGCCCAGATTGAAGAACGTTTTTCCAGACCAGGGGCCTTCAAACTTGGCCCTTTTACGACATGTGGACTTCAACTCCCAGAATTCTTCAGCATATTCTGGGAGTTGAAGTCCACAAGTCATAAAAGGGTCAGGTTTGAAGACCCCTGCTCCAGACTCTGGTTCCTCTCTAGGGCCAAGGAGATGTTAAAATGCAAGCAGATCAATTCAGAGTAGGCCCATGTGCTCGAAGGAGCACCCATAATGGTTCTGGGTTGTTCTACTTTTAGAGTAGTGCTTCTCAACCTTGGCCACGATAAGACATGTGGACTTCAATCCCCAGAATTCCCTGGCTAGATATGTCAACTGTCTTGTATTCACCTTCCTGGAAGTCAGTTCAGAGTATGAGGAAACAGATGGGAAGGGAAGTGGGAGGAGGAGGGGAGGGGAGAAAGGAAAAGGAGGTAAGGAGGAGGGGAAAAGAAGAGAAGAGGGGAGGGGAAATGAAGGGGGAAGGTGAAGAGAGGGGAAAAGAGAAGAGAAGAGAAGAGAAGAGAAGAGAAGAGAAGAGAAGAGAAGAGAGAAGACTTAAAACAGGATTTGGATAAGCTAAACTACTCTGTATTCCAAGAGGAGGGGAGGCCAATAGCCATCCAGAAGCAGCTGGAATATAATCCCCATCAACCTTAGCCAAGCCAACCCATAATAATGGGTGCTGGAACATCTTACCACCCTTCACCCATCACGCTGGGTTTGTTCTTCCAAGCCACTTGCTGCTCACCAGAGCTTCTTGCGATTTATAGCTGGCTACCCTCCCATCCTAAACCCCTGCCTGGCTTGGCCACAACACCCTGGCTCTCTGCCTCCATAAGCTCTCAAACGCTCCTCCATTGCGGCTTCTTCTCTTTTCCTTTTTAAACCAGGGGTCTTCCAACTTGGCCCTTTTATGACTTGTGGACTTCAACTCCCAGAATTCCTGAGCCAGGCATGCTGGCTGAGAAATTCTGGGAGTTGAAGTCCACAAGTCATCAAAGGGCCAAGTTGGAAGACCTTTGGTTTAAACTGAGGAAGGCCAACTTGGGGGAGTGCCTCCCAGCATCCCGCAATATTGTCTAGCTAAGGCTGCTGGGAATTGTAGTCTAGCAACCCTGAGAGGAGTGTCACAGGGCGCCTCCTGCTGGTTGAGAAAAAAAGTACCACCGTGAGGGTCAGCTCTCACCTTCGGTGAGCAGTCAAGTCGTTGTCCGTGATGCTGGCCCCTCGGGGTGTCTTTTCATTGGGGATGTTGGCCGTGATGAGACTGTGGGAGCTGAAGCGGAGGTGGCGAACTGGGTGCCTGGAAAAAAAAAAAGGGATCCACAGAGTCTATCAGCGGCTCTTCAACAAGGTCTCCATGTTTAAATGCAGAGGACAAGCAAATGAATGTTTAATTAAAAGCAGGATGCACAGTAAATTGGAACAAAACTAGGAGTTTTTATTATTATTATTATTTTAAAAAACCTTTCCACTGGGTGCCTGTAAAAAAAAAAGGGAGCCACAGAGTCCATCAGTGGCTCTTCAAGATGGTCTCCATATTTAAATGCAACTGGCTGTTTAATTAAAAGCAAGTGCAGTTATTCAAGTGCACAGTAAATTGGAACAAACGCAAATAAAACCCTAGGAGTTTATTTTATTTTATTTAAAAAAACCTTTCCACTGGGTACCTGGAAAAAAAGGGAGCCGTAGAGTCCATCAGTGGCTCTTCGAAATGGTCGCCATGTTTAAATGCAACGGACATGCAACTGGCCGTTTAATTAAAAGCAGGGGGCAGTTATTCAAGTGCGCAGTAAATTGGAATAAATGCAAATTAAAACCCTAGGAGTTTTTATTATTATTATTTTAAAAAACCTTTCCATTGGGTACCTGGAAAAAAACGGAGCCCAGAATCCATCAGTGGCTCTTCAAAATGGTCGCCATGTTTAAATGCCCCTGGCTGTTTAATTAAAAGCAGGTGCGGTTATTCAAGTGCACAATAAATTGGAAAAAACGCAAAGTAAAACCCTAGGAGTTTATTTTATTTTATTTTTAAAAAGCCTTTCCACTGGGTGCCTGGAAAAAAAGGGAGCCCCGGAGTCCATCAGTGGCTCTTCAACAAGGTCTCCATGTTTAAATACAACGGACGTGCAACTGGGTGTTTAATTAAAAGCAGGGGGCAGTTATTCAAGTGGGACTTATTCTTAATTTTAACACGAATGACTATATACAGGTAGTTCCCCCAGGTATGAACGTTTATTTAGTGTTCCCCAAAACGGACTCATTCACAAAGGCTACTCACTGTTACACGTGCAAAACCGCCACCAAAAAGAGGCCTCTGCAGCCACGTGGCTCGGAGAGGAGAAACCGGAAGTGGAGTTTTTTTTGGTGCCTGGTCACGTGGCGGAAGCAGAGTGGCTGACTTTTGCAAGATCTCTTTTGCTTTTGCTTTCCTGGAGCTGCCTGGAAGACCTCCTGCTTGCCGGGCTTGAGGACTAGAAAGCTAGAACTACTTCTGTAAGTATTTTAAAATATTCTTTTTTGTTACTCTGTGGAATTGTACTTCTGTCCTTTGCAATCCCTTTGGGAACTGCTCTGCTTCCTGTCGTGTTGGTAAGCGCAGCGCTTTGCAAGGTGGTTTGTTTGCATCTGCCTGACATTGGTAGCCTGTGGCTGCTGCTGCCTCCTCCTGTCCCTGGCGCAGACCCAGCAGAGATTCTGCAGACCCCTTAACTGCAGGGGGCTTCCAACGTGGCCCTTGTATGACTTGCGGACTTCAACTCCCAGCATTCCTCAGCCCAGCGTGCCTGGCTGAGGAATTCTGGGAGTTGAAGTCCACAAGTCATACAAGGGCCAAGTCGGAAGACCCCTGCCTTTACTGGAAGGAAATCCTCCACCCTCACCCATTTTGGATTTTGCTTGGAGAGGCTTGTGCAGATTGGGGGAAGTTTTTCTTTTTAAAAGTTTTAAATTTAAATTGCCTTGTGAGTGTTCCCTCCCTGGCGGCTTTTAAGAAGAAATTGGATAGGCATTTATCAGAAATACGGTACAGTACTGTACTCTCTGTGAGAGCAATGGGCTAGACTAAAGTATTCTGGCCCACTGGGAAAGCCTTTTGGAAAACTCCTGGCTTTACGCCTTATTGGCCTAACCCAGCTAGCCCCTCGATCTTACCTCTTTCAATCCCCTTCTTATGAAGACAGGGATTTCTGGACTCTAGAAAGAAACTAATCCAAAGCCAGATGTAGGTGATAAATCCCCTGCTAATAGTGATAAAAGTTGAGCAGAGAACAGTAACTGGGAAGTGTCTGTTTGAAGAAAGGCAAATAACAAGGGTTGAAAGACCTTCCCCAAAGGGGTCACATTTTTAGCCTCTTTTCTTCATCGCTACCCTTCAAGTAAACTTTCAGGGCAACTTTTCATAGTTCCTCCATCCCCACCAAAATGGAACCACTGTCTATTGAGGACACACGTGTGTTTAGTTGCTCCCCCTCAAAACGGCACGCAGGGCTCCAGACTGGTTCTGTCCACTCCTGAAATTGCCAGCACAGTCCAGCCAGCTTGGGCCTTCTGGGAAACCCACACATCTGGAGGGTCACCGAGATCTCTAAAAGTTGCCGTTCAACCTGGCAACGTCAGAAAGCATTGAGTTTGGATCCAGCGTGAGCTTCCCGATGACTCTCCCATCCCTTTCTAAGTAATGCAGTAGCTGCCAAGCTAAAACACGCAAGGAGCTTTTTTAAAAAAATAAATATATAAATAAAACGTTCTTCCTCGTCCACCACTTTTCCTTCGGCGATGATCTCATTGACCAATGTTCCGCAGCAGCAGAAAGATGACAATTAACTCCATGCTAAAAAGAAGAATTACCACTTGTCCTACAGAAGCCAAAATAGGAGTTAGCTTTGTAGGCTTCAGTCTGTCCTACCTGGATAGAAATTACAGCCGCTGTCACTGAATTTTTCTTGGACTATTCAGGAATTTGCCGAGATGCTTGAAAACGGTGCATATCTGATGCATGCAAGGTTTAAACAGCGATCTTTGAAAATTAATGTTGCAACATTTTTATTTTTTTCGTACAGGTTCCTGGGTTACAACATTGGTAAGCAGGATGGATTGTGTGAAATATTAAAAGCTTTTAAAAAGTTTTCATTTGTTTCCTGGTTATCAATTTGGGGCTCCCCCTACACCTCCCCACCCCAGAAACCTGCTGACTTAGGATTTTTTCCCCCACCCGAATCATTTTATTGCCAGAAAAACTAAGCCCCCCCCCTGCATTTTCCAAGATTTGCAAAAAGGGACCAAGAGCTCTTTGGAAGAAAGGATTGGAGGTTATTTTTGCCCGTGTGGCTGGGCGAGAGGTGGAAAGAAAAATTGCTAAGCTGAAAGGAGGCTGGTGAAATTTGCCAAGTTCAGAATGATCTAAATTGTATGGATATTTTGCAAGAAGGAAAACAGCCCAGTTTTTTTGCATACTGATTTTTTTAGCCCAATGAAGGAAGAGTGAAGTAACTGATGGGTGGTGAATCTACTGGTAGAATAATTAGCAGGGAGAGTGCTGAGCCATGGAGGAAGGCATCGAGCAGAAACTGTTTAGGGCAGTTTGAACCCAACAAGGTAACATCATCAATACTATATGAGTGCATCAGAGCACTGATGATGTTACCTAGGCAGGTCATGAAATGTCTGCTAGAAACAGCTAAGCTCAGAGAGAACCAAGGATCCCACAGTCCTCCTCCACCTCCTTCTCTTCTTCTCCACCACTCCGCAAACCCTTCCCTTCCAGCCCTGATGAAGGTATCTAGGCAGGTCGTGAAATGTCTGCTAGAAAACAACCAAGTTCAGAGAGAACCAAGGATCCCACAGTCCTCCTCCACCTCTTCCTCCCCATATTCTCCCCCTCCTCCCCCATGTCTCCTCCTCCTCACAAACCCCACTCCCTTCTAGCACTGATGATGTTACCTACTTGGGTAATGAAATGTCTGCAACAAACAATCAAACTCAGAGAGCACCAAGGACCCCACAGTCGTCGTCGTCTTCCTCCTCCTCTTCCTCCTCCTCCTCCTCCTTCAATTCAACCCTGAGCTACAAAGATTCTCTTCTATTTGTCTTTAAGACTTGAATGGGAGACCAATTGGAGATCCCAAAGTTATAACCTAGAGTGGCTTGTTGGAAAAAAATCTTCCCCAGAGGCGGCAATCACATCCTTGACACTGTTTGCCCCCCCCCAAAAAAAACCCTTTTGCAAAATCCCATGGTCACATGACCACAAGTGTTTTTGACAATGTTTTCTTCCAGTGTCTGGCCAAAAAAAAAAAAAAAAGCTCGTGGTGGACAATGAGTTCAGTTAATGATTGCCATTTTCACTTAACAATCTCTGCAAAAAAAAAATTATCATAAAATCAGGTCGGCCACAAGACCACTTGTTTAATGACTGTAATTCTGGGCTTGAAAGTTGAGGACCATCTATAACTGCGAATTAAGGCAGTCACTAATCAAGCATTACTTGTCTGGGGCTGAGGCTTTCAGACTTGGTTCTGTTTAGGCAAAAAAGGAAGAAAACAATGTATTTTTCCTGACCGTACAGCAATGGACAGTTGGGCATGAACTCAGAGCCCGGGTGGCTGGGTTCAGTGGCTCGCTTGACCTGGAGCATGTGATCCTGGAAGAGCAATTGAACCAGATTCAACACCGACCTTTTAAGCTCTTAAGACTTTTATATCCCCAGCCAGGTAACATGGTGACGTCTGCCTGAAGAGCTTTTCTCCTAAAGAGAGAAAGACAGAGAGCAAAAACAAAATACAGAATTACAGAGTTAGGCATGAAAACCAGCAGGGTGACTTTGGGCCAATCCTCAGGAGACTTGGGAGTTCTACTGTTGCCTTAGCCATAAAAGTCGGCTACGTGACTTTGGGCCAATTCCCAGGAGAGTGGGAGTTTTAGTCCCGCCTTAGGCATGAAAACCAGTTGGGTGACTTTGCGCCAATCACCAGGAGACTGGGAGTTTTAGTCCCGCCTTAGGCATGAAAACCAGTTGGGTGACTTTGCGCCAATCACCAGGAGACTGGGAGTTTTAGTCCCGCCTTAGGCATGAAAACCAGTTGGGTGACTGCGCCAATCACCAGGAGACTTGGAGTTTTAGTCCCGCCTTAGGCATGAAAACCAGTTGGGTGACTTTGCGCCAATCACCAGGAGACTGGGAGTTTTAGTCCCGCCTTAGGCATGAAAACCAGCTGGGTGACTTTGCGCCAATCACCAGGAGACTGGGAGTTTTAGTCCCGCCTTAGGCATGAAAACCAGCTGGGTGACTTTGCGCCAATCACCAGGAGACTGGGAGTTTTAGTCCCGCCTTAGGCATGAAAACCAGTTGGGTGACTTTGCGCCAATCACCAAGAGACTGGGAGTTTTAGTCCCACCTTAGGCATGAAAACCAGTTGGGTGACTTTGCGCCAATCACCAGGAGACTGGGAGTTTTAGTCCCGCCTCAGGCATGAAAACCAGCTGGGCAATTTTGTGCCAGTCCCTCTCTCTTAGCCCAGCCCACCTCACAGGGTCGTTGTTGCTGGGAAAACAGGAGGAAAGCATGTTTGGATAGGTTTGCCACCTTGAGTTAATTATAAAACAAAAAATTGCGGCCTATAAATAAATATTTTTTTTCAAAAAATAGCCTAGAATAGCAGGGTGGCCTCTGGACTTCAGTCCATCCCAATATAAATAATCTAAGCTGCCAAATAACCTACGACGTGGCAACTTTCAGAGGTGTCAGTTTATGGGAGTTGAAGTCCCCACATCTGAAAGTGCTGGTGGCAGGGGAATTCTGGGAGTTGGATTCCCCATGGCTGGAAGGGAAACTAATCAAGGAGAGAAGCAACCTAGAACTAAGGAGAAACTTCCTGACAGTTAGAACGATTAATCAGTGGGACTGCTTGCCTCCAGAAGTTGTGAATGCTCCAGCACTGGAGGCTTTTAAGAAGAGACTCACTAGAGGAACCATTTGTCCAAAATGGTATAGGGTCTTATATAAAAATGTACCGGAACTCACACACATCGTACAATCCGCCTTGCCTATTCTACAAGGTTCCATTCCCAAAAGGTTCTGGACTCAGTTCTGGGCATTCTTTGACAAAAAAAGCCCGGGTCTGCTGCTTGAGCAAGGGGCTGGACTAGAAGACCTCCAAGGTCCCTTCTATTCTATTCTGTTCTATTCTATTCTATTCTATTCTATTCTATTCTATTCCATCCCATCCATCCCAAATTCTATTCTATTCTGTTCTGTTCTATTCTATTCTACTCTGCTCTACTCTAGATTCTATTCTACTCTACTCTGTTCTATATTCTATTCTATTCTATTCTATTTTTCTTATTCTATTCTATTCTACATTCTATTCTACTCTACTCTATACTCTATTCTATTCTATTCTATTCTATTCTATTCTATTCTATTCTATTGAGCCTCAGTTTCTCTCACCTTTTAAAACACTTCAGCAAGAAGGTTGTTGAAAGCGGAAGGAGAAGCAGGCAGGAACCTAAGGAAGACCGGTGAATTTTTCTTCAGAAGAGATGCGCGCGGGGGCGACATTCTTGGCTTCAAAACGACTCGACGGTCGTCGCAGCGAGGAGAGAGAACCTGTTTTCTTTAAGCCTTTGGAGGGGACCGTCCAAGAGTCAAAGCAGTTCGTCGCCGCCTTCCCGGCCTGGCTGAACTCCTTCGCCTTACCTAGCCGCCCCTCCACACACCCCCCCCCCGCCTTTTCCTTGGGAATTACGGGAGGTCAAAGGAGCTGCCCGCCTGGCATTTGCAACCGGCCAGGCAGGGCGTGAGCGCGTCAGAGCTGCTGCAATCAACCGACCTCTTGCAAAGCTGCGCGGAGCCAGCGTGGGAAAGGAAGGGCGCGGGCGTGGGGGGCGAGGGTCCCGCGTGCGCGCGAGGCCAGGTGGAGCTGCGGGCCTTTGCGTGTCAGCAGCCCCGGCGTTGTCTCTTTAAGCCCCAGTCGGGGCGGCGACCGAAGGCGGAGTTGAGGCTCCGCTGGCCCCGGCTATAGAAAGCGGAGCGCGGCGCTCGGCTGAGGTCCCGGGCGGCGCGCGGGGCTCCAGTTTGCTGCTCCTCTGCTGAAGGCCAGGTGAGTCCAGCAGGTGCGGCAGGTCGAGAGAGAGAGAGAGAGAGAGAGAGAAGTGGAGGCGATTGAGCTCCGGACTAGGAAAGAAGGAGGGAGGAAGGGAAGCGCTAGCCAGCTCGGTGCCACTGGAGGAAAAAGGGTGTTTACAAGCTCGCGTTCCCGGGTGTCGTGGTGGAGAGAGAGAGAGAGAGAGAGAGAGAGAGAGAGTGTAGGGGGTCGCGTAGGCTTTGGGTTTCTTCCTCGGTCGACTTGGCCTGTTAGAGGGCTTCTGACGCTGTCACTGGCTCCTGGTTAATCATCATCATCATTAAAATAAAGTTGGAAGGGATCTTAGAGGTCATCTAGTCCAACCCCCTGCTCAGGCAGGAAACCCTATACCGCTTCAGACAAGTGGCTGTCCAGTCTCCTCTTGAAAACTTCCAGGGTTGGAGCATTCACCTCTTCTGGAGGCAGGTTGTTCCACCGGTTAATTGTTCTCACTGTCAGTAAGTTTCTCCTTAGTTCTAGGTTGCTTCTCTCCTTGATGAGTTTCCACCCGTTGCTTCTTGTCCTGCCTTCAGGGGCTTTGGAGAATAGCTTGACTCCCTCTTCTTTGGGGCAGCCCCTGAGATATTGAAAGGCTGCTATCATGTCCCCCCTCGTCCTTCTCTTCATTAAACTATTCCCAATTCCAGCCACCATTCGTTATCTGTTTTAGCTTTGTAGACTGGTTTCTAGACTGGTGTCTTTACCAGTAGACCAAACTGGTCTAGGTGGTGTGAACTTACTTTCATTAAGACTTTGTGGAAACTGGTGCCTTCAAGAATTGTGTAAAAGGAAGGGAGGAGGAGATGAATTTATGAATGAACGTCAGGGTAACTGATAGGATGTCTTTCACTTGGCTATTCCTGTTTTCAAAACAGGAATTGACCTGGAAATACCCAGGTTGATTAACCATATCCCCAAAGCCAAGAAACATTCACATTTCTTCTGAGGCGGTTATGCAGAACGTGTCTGGCTGGTTTAGCAAGCAGCTCCAATAATTATTCACCTAAAGAAAAAAAATATATATTGGGACCTTCCAGAGTAGGTGAGAGTGAAGGAATTCCTTAAGGCAATATACTATTTTTTATATCAGCAAAAACAAGGACTGTGTTAAATAATCACTGCAAGCTTGTTTTCACTATACCCGTTCCAGGCTGGTGCAGTTTTCTTATCCTTCCCTAACAACAGACAGAAAACTGTAAATACCTTCAAAGTTTGTGGAATGTGGAAAAAGATTTGAAGATTTCAATGACAGATTCGTAATGCTTTTCCAAAGCACCTGAAGGCAGGACAAGAAGCAACGGATGGAAACTAATCAAGGAGAGAAGCAACCTGGAACTAAGGAGAAACTTCCTGACAGTTAGAACAATTAATCAGTGGAACAGCTTGCCTCCAGAAGCAGTAAATGCTCCAACACTGGAAGTTTTTAAGAAGAGTCTGGACAGCCATTTGTCCGAAATGGTATAGGGTTTCCTGCCTGAGCAGGGGGTTGGACTAGATGATCTGCAAGGTCCCTTCCAATTTTTTATTATTATTAATGCAGCAGACTAAAAAGGTAAAGATTTCCCTATCCAGTTGTTTCCTTATAGCATCCTGGACAAATGGCATAGGTTGAGATGGTATAGGTTCTCCTGCTTGAGAGGGGGCTGGACTAGAAGACCTCCAAGGTCCCTTCCAGCTCTATTCTATTCTATTCTATTCTATTCTATTCTATTCTATTCTATTCTATTCTATTCTATTCTCTGTTCCCTATTCTATTCTATATGTTAAGTTCTGCAGTCTAGACCCAATATTACATCATCAAATATTCCTCTTCTGATAGTACCTGTTTTCCCATGCTAGGCAAATACAATTCTTATTGTTATTAATAAATATACAACTAAATATAAACATCTTGGTTACATTTTTCTCATACTATCCATAATGTCAGTTTTAGATAACTTTTCTAACCAAAACATACCTTAATTGCATTTGCGCTTAATATATTCAATCAATATTCTGTTTTCGCTCTCTTTTTTAATTTTAATTTCCCATCAGCATTCAAAACGTCTCTATTGTTTTTAATTTACAAGTAAGTTATATTTGGGTAAACAAAAGCTCTACGTATGTGTTTTTTTAAATGATATTTTAATGTCTTGCATTTTTATATATATTTTTATGTCTTGCATTTTTATATATTTTAGTGTCTTGCATTTTTATATATTTGAATGTCTTGCATTTGAGTGTATTTGAAGTTTCTGCCAGCCTGGACTTCCTTTGCCTTCCCCTTTTTCTCCCTACAGAGGGATGTCATCGTAACATCTCCAACTTTCTGCTGACCTCACTTCTCCATTTCCACCAACGGCTGGACTTTGTGAAACTCCCTGGTTGTTGGCGTTGTCGCCCCCTCCTTTCCGATAGTGTCGCTCCCCATGCTGTGGTGTGCAATCCTCGCCTCTAGAGCAGACGGATGATGAGGGACGTTTTCCGGCTGGGCCTTATGCAAACTCTCTGGCTTCTTGGTGGGGCCTTCCTGCTGGTCGGGGAGACAGACGCGGTAGGACCTCTTGGGCCATGGAACATCAAGTTCTCAGCATCCTTCTCAATAGAGGGTCTTGGGCAACCTTCTGGAATCCAGAGCTCCACCACAAATGTGGACGTAAGTGGCCAAAACGTTAGAGACATATTTCTCTTTTGATTCTACTTGGGGCTAAAGTCAATCTTGGGAAATCCAGATCATCCTTGGCTTACAACAGTTCATTTAGTGACGATTCCCTGCTCAAACAGGAGACCCTGTACATTCCAGACAAGTGGCTGTCTGATCTCTCTTAAAAGCCTCCAATGATGGAGCATCCACAACTTAGAGAAAAGCCGTTCGTTTCACTGGTTAATTGTCCTCACTGATAGGAGATTTCTCCTTAGTTCTAGGTTGCTTCTCTCTTTGTTTAGTTTCCATCTATTGCTTCTTGTTTTGGCTTCTGGTGTTTTGGAAAATAGGTTGACCCCCTCTTCTTTGTGGCAGCCCCTCAAATATTGGAACACTGCTTTCATGTCACCCCCTAGTCCTTCTTTTCATTAGACTAGATATTATCCAATTCTTGCAACCATTCTTCATAAGTTTTAGTCTCTAGGCCCTTAATCATTTTAGTTGCTCTTCTTTGCACTCTTTCCAAAGTCTCAACATCTTTTTTATAATGTGAATAAAGTGGCAAGAGTCAAGATGGCAGCTGCAAGAGTGTCGTCAAAGCTATAGGCCATGGGTAGGCAACCTTGGCTCTTTTATGACTCGTGGACTTCAACTCATGCTGAGGGGAAAGGGAGAGGTTTCCATGCTGAGCCATGCTGGCTCAGGAATTCTGGGAGTTGAAGTCCACGAGTCGTAAAAGAGCCAAGGTTGCCTACCCCTGCCCTAGGCCTTTTTACAAGTGCCACACAAAAGGTTTGGAGATTGATCACGCTATCGTGGCACCCCCACCCCTTTTGTAGACTATCCTGATGTGCATCATAATTTATCTCCTTGATTTTCTTGACTGTAACCTGTTTGTTCAGAGATCATCAGGATGGACCTTTCTTTGACCTACAACTTGAAGCTTAGAAGCTTCAGATGGTGTAGAATGTTGCCACCCACTTCACAATAGGTGACATAACCTGGAAGAGATGCAACTAATGTTCCAGTCTCTCTCCTGACTTCCTCTAGGAACTTCTGGGAATCACATTTGCCCACCCCCTTGTAACTAATCAGGTTTAGGCAAGATGTTTTCCTAAAGGTCAGTCCAAGTGTAATTTGGTATGCAGCTCCCTCTTTCTTCCAGCTGGGTGACCTTGAGGCAGCATCTGGAGGAGGTACAGCACTTACTTTCATTTCTCCCCTTCATTATCCTTCCCCACAGTTCATGGCAGTCTGTCACTGCCTAACAGTGAAGCACAAACAAGTATAAGGTGGCAGTTGACAGGTGGTAACCAGGCTGTTCCCATGGAATCTCTTTTGTTACTCGTGCTTTCTTTCTTTCTTGTCTCCACTTTAGTGCAGAGAAGTGGGAAAACAGAATCAGTCGGACCGTTGCTCCTTCATCCGGCATAACCCAAACTGCAAGATGGACAGTGGCTTCCTCAACTACCTCAATGGAATTTTCTGCATCTTCCCAGCTGCTCTGCAACCATTGGCCATAACCCTCTACGTAAGAATCCCAGTGGGAAAGGAGACTTCTCATATCTATTTTTGCTTGGATGGCTTCCCCCCCCCCTTTTTTTTTAAAAAGTTCTGTTGGTCCAGAAAGTTTGGGTCTTTTTACCAGGCGTGCAAGCCCAATGGACCACCACCAGATAGGTGGAAAGGAAAAGAGAACTTTTATTTGCAAATAAGAGGGTTATCCAGAAGTTTTTGCTGGAAGCCTTCAAGAAATGGACATCCATTTTTTTCCAGGATGCAATAAGATCTCCTTGCTTGGGGGCTGGACTAGAAGACCTGCAAGGTCACTTCCAGCCCTGTCATTCATATGACTATTATGGACTTTGGTCCTGCTGTCTTGGAATCTTGGGAGTTGTAGTCCCAACCCATCTGGGGTGGAGTGTGCCTGGGTGGGAAGGTTGGATGGTGTTTTTCCTCCTCCCGTTTCCCAGCAAACACCCCTGTCTTTGGTTTCTTGTAGGTAGTGTGGCTTCTCTACCTCTTTGTTATCCTTGGGGTCACAGCTGAGAAATTGTGAGTAGTAAACCTGGAATCCAAATCACACTTTCAGAGTCAAAGGTCAGCTATCTGGGGGACAGAGAGGAACAGCAATAAGAAGGGAAGCAGCATTTCAGAAATGTTTAATCGTTCTCTTTCTTTCTCCTTCTAGCTTCTGCCCTAACTTATCGGCCATCTCCACCAAGCTGCGTCTGGCTCATAATGTGGCAGTATCCTTCCATGGGCCCATCCCTCCTGTCTTTTGGGGATGCGGGACAGTGAAAGAAAAGGTCCCCAGGAGGACAATCCATTAAGTGGAGAAGGTGGATCAGGGAGGATAAGAGTTGGGCGGGGAATTTGGGTACAAAATCCATGAAAATGTTGCAGCCTTCGGTTGACCACTTTAACGTGGCAATGAAAAAAACAACAACTTTGAATTAAATGGCCAAATGAGGCTTGTGACGAGAGGACCATCATCGTCAGCTGTTTGAGAAGACCCCCCAAGAGACAAATATCTTACAAAAGAGGCTAGTTTTTCCTCCGAAGCAAAGCATAGGCCAATTCTGTCAGTGAAAACAAACAGTGGGATAGCTTGCCTTCGGAAGTTGTGGGTGCTCCATCACTGGATGTTTTCAAGGAGAGACTCGACGGCCATTTGTCTGTGGAGATTCTCAGTCATCCAGGTCAATAGTGCTTTTTCACGAGGCAACTGAAGAAGCTTCTTGGATGAGAAGTAAAACGTCTTCAACGAAAAAAACAAGAAGGTCTTGCGAAAAAGCACTTTTGGGATAGACAGCCATTTGTCCAGAATGCTATAGTATAGGATCTCCTGCTCTAGGAGAAGATTGGACTAGAAGAGTCCCTTCCAACCTTGTAATTCTTGCTTTCTGGCAAGGAAATCAGCTTGGTGATTATGCTGGTGCTGGGTACGTACAGGCCAGCAGAATAAAGGAATCAAGTCCACTCCTAAACAGATCAGGCATGGTGGTAGATCTTTTTTCCTTAGCCCTTCCTCCATGGTGTCACCTTTCTGGCTTTTGGAAATGGAGCACCTGACATCTTCAGCGCGGTCGTTGCATTCTCCGATCCCCGGACAGCTGGGCTAGCCATTGGAGCTATCTTTGGTAAGAAGGACAAAGGGGATGGCTGGGTTTGTGTACTGCCTATGGAATAAATGCAGGAGGAGAAATTCTGTGGAGGTGTCAGCCCTTGGAGGTAGTCCAGAGAGGAAATCCAAACCATGAGGACTAGCGCTGCCTTTATTGTAAGGTTATGGCAACAGAATCATGCTGTCAGGCTTCAAAGAGCGCTGTTTCAACCATTTTTTGCTTCTTAGCTTGCCAACGAGCCCGGGAGGAGGGGAGGGGAGAATGGAAAGCAGGATCCAGATAGCAAAATGCCAGTCCATGAGAACCAAGGACTCTCAAGAGTTGTTTACTGAGAACTAAAGACATTCTCTCATAATCATTATCTGTCTTATAATTGGATAATGTGACCGGCACTAACAGAGGGATGGAGGTTTCTATACTTCTAATATAGCGATTTAGGCGGGAATTGACCAGAGCTGGTTTTACTTCCATCTGTGCCAAAACGATGTACTCAATAAAGTTTTGCAGTAGAGATAGGATCGTCTCCGCTGTGCTTACTTCATTGGATACGTCAGAACCTTGACACATGCAAGCCTAAATGCATTTCCTCCTCCCCTGCCTTTACTTTCCAGAGAGCTAAGGAGGATGGTCCCTTTTTGAGATGCTTTTGCCACTTCCATTCATCTTTAGACCCAGATTTCTCTTATCAAACCCTTGTCTTGGCTGAGGCTTTGCATCCTGTCTCCCAAGGTCATTCTCCCCTTCCGTTAGAGTATATACGGCTGAGTGAAAGAGGAAAGATCATCCAGCTGTCTTCTCTTTTTATTTTTCACTAGGTGCTGGCATCTTCGTCACCACTATAGTCGCTGGTGGCATAGCCCTTATAAGGCCTTTTACCGCCGCCTCGCGTCCCTTCCTACGGGATGCCATCTTCTACATGGTCGCCGTGTTCCTGACTTTTGTAGCTCTCTATTTTGAACAAGTCACCTTGGCAGAAGCTCTGAGTAGGTATAAAGAGACAAAGAGGCTTTAAAAAAAATCCCTTGTTGGAAGGCGGACATTCCACCTTCACGTTTTGTTTTCCGGGAACAGGATCTGTCTCCTTTTGCAGGTGATGCCACCCCTTCATCCCAACCAATTTGTAGCTGGTGTCTGTTCTCAGTTGGTTCAAGGGACCAGAGTTTGGAGCTGAGTTGAGCTGCCAAATGAATTTCTTATAGTGCCTCAGAGACATCGCTCCAGACCTCTAATCTCAGCCATTTCCAGGTGTATGGACATCAGATTGCAGAATTCTACAGCTAGAACAACCTGGGGTCAAAATTCTGGGAGTTTGGGAATTTGAGAATTCTTTAAATTCTCTGAGTTTAAGTCCTCATACCTGAAAGGTTGGGAAGCACTGCTCCAGGGAGTAGCGTTTCAGCGTGGACACTCACTGGAATTTGCCGCACTACTCAAAGCTTTGTTGATTCAAAACAAATTGTGGGAGCTACTGAGGAGATCCTCAACTGCTCAGCCTCCTCTTGTATCTGTTTCATTTCTTAACATTGTTATGTTATTCTACTCCAAATGGCTCAAGAAAAAAATAAAATAAAAATGACATACTGAAGAGTATGTAGGGTAATGGTCTTGACTAACATGGGTAGGTAGCCGCACCCAACATTATCCAATGCTTTCTGCTAGAGCTATGTGGGGTTTTTTTTCCTGATTATGGAAACTCATTAGGGCAGACTTTTAATTTATTTGCAATTGACTTAATGTATAGGAAGTTGATTCATAACGTGTACATGAATTGGAGACAAGGTTTGATGGGCAGAGAAGACAACATCAACTTGTTGTGATGTCTCTTATTCACAGGTTTCCTTGGACTTTACATCTTCTACGTCTTGACTGTTGTGGTCTCCACCTGGCTTCACAAGAGACAGCGCAGGGAAAGATTGGCTCCACCCAGCCATCCAGAACCAGGTGAGGGCTGGTGTACCTATAGGTCAGAGATGGAGTACGGGTGGACTTCAAGATGTTCAATACTCTAGTTCCCATGAGCTCCAAATCAACATGGTCAAAGGTTAGAAAAGATGTGAGTTGAGTTCAATATCATTATGAGGATCTTCTCTCTTCTTCAAGAAGCCTTTATGTTTTGGATGGAGAAGGACAGAAATTTAGTTGGTGGCAACTGCTGGCACAAAGTGGCCTGATAGGAAATAATCTAGAGCAGAGGTCCCCAACCCCCCAGTCCGTGGACCTGTATCGGGCTGCGGCATGCCAGCAACCGGTCTGCACAAACAAACAAAGCCCCATCACTGGGATGCAGGCTGCATACACACCCACGCACTCTCCAGTCCTCGGAAAGACTTTTCTCCGTGGAACTGGTTCCTGGTGCCCCAAAGGTTGGGGACCTCTGATTTAGAGGACAACCCTGCCTATCTGAGATGCCAGAGCAAATTTTGCTAGACAAACCTCCTTAGATACTCCACCGATTTGTTTACCATTGTCATTGGAAGCTCAAGATTTTGCAGTATACCAATATAATAAACACATTTCCAATTTCTCCCTCTCCAGAAATATCAACGGATTCCGAAGAAGGGGACAATGCAAGTGTGAATGGGGGTAAGACATTCTTGGATTTCTAAGCCTGCAGACTGTTTAGGTTGGTTTTTGTTCTTTGTGTAGCTCATACCGCTCTTCTGTTATAAGCTTCTCAAGCAGGAATTCTTTCAGCAAACCAAGTTGAGAGGTTTCCTTCAGAAAGGAGGAAACGAAGTCCCTATTCTGGTTGCAGAAGTCAACCATGGTCCTTTGCACATTTTTATCAGTGGCTGGAGTGGGACTTTATCTGTTACTCGTAAATAACTCAACCACCCTTAATGAACCTTCTATCATCTTCATCCAATACAACCTTCTCGGTGTTTGTTGGAGGTGATGGGATTCAGTGGTTAAACATCCTTTTTGGATGGCTGATCCGTAGTTGTTCTTGAGATGATACCACATTGGAAGAAAGCTTGGTCATGTCCTTCCTTAACTCCAAAAACCTGGACACCCCCTTTTTAGGAGAGAAGGGGAGGATATGAGAATGAGGCGAGTTGACTTGTGTGTAGATTAAGGCACCAAGCTAGAACCCCAGGAATCTGTGAGCTTCTCGCCCCATCTTAGACCCAAAGCCAGCTGGATGACCTTGGATCCATCACACATTGTCAGCCCTAGAAAGGAAACAACCAGCCACTTCTGTCCCTGCCAGGAAAACTGCAGGGACCAGTCCGGGCAATTGCCAAGTCTTACGATTGACTTGAAGGCACCAATAAATGCAAGAGAGAATGAGGATTCTTGAATCCCGATCATCTCTATAGCTTCTTCTTTCTTTCACTTGTGCAGAGGAAGAATATCAACTGCTGTTGCCCTTGGAGGAAACCACATTCCAGATTCTGACTCAGTCCATCAACCCTCTGGATTATAGGAAGTGGAGGAGAAAACCCTGCTATTGGAAACTGTTCAAAGTTTGCAAGGTTAGAGCTACATCTTTCTTATAAAAAAGAAAAGAAACCGTCCACTAAATTGTGCAATCTCTTCTCAAGGGACGTCTAAAAACTTCTAAAATGCATCTCTTTGCTGCCCTCTAACCCAACAGTCTTCATTTTGGTTGGACCAAACCCCAAAATCCTATGGGCCCTACAGTCCTCCTTCACCATCACCACCACCTCCTCCTCCTCCTCTTCCCTTCTAGCACTGATGATGTTACCTAGTTTGGTAATGAAACGTCTGCAAGAAAACAATCAAGTTCAGAGTGCACCAAGGGCCCTACAGTCCTTCACCATCACCACCACCACCTCCTCCTCCTCCTCCTTCTCCTCTCCCTTCTAGCACTGATGATGTTACCTAGTTTGGGTAGTGAAACGTCTTCCAGGTTTTTTCCCTTCTCACCAGTAAGGCCCTCTCTAACTAATAGTGAAGGCATTAGGCTCAAAAACCAGGAGACCGGGAGTTCTAGTCCCGCCTTCTGCAGAGGTGCAGAACAATCTCTAGTTTGGGCGACTTGCTGATAGCTTCTTCTCCCTACAGCTTCCCGTGGAATTGGTCCTTTTACTGACAGTACCTACTGTTGATCCTGACCGGGATGATCAAAACTGGAAAAGGCCTCTGAATTGTCTACACTTGATCACCGGCCCGCTCGTTTGCATTCTCACCTTGAAATCTGGAACCTGTAAGTTTACGCCTTTCCTCTACAAACTGGGCTCTCTATTGGGAAGATGTCTAATAGCGAATGGGAGAAAGACCTCTCTTAATCTTGAGCACCCTGTGGTACATAAATCGTCTCCAGTTCACTTTCCAGTATTCCCAGTTAGAAGGGGGAGGTACGTTATGGGCATGAGAACAGGAAATAGAAATCTGAATTGGAAGGGATTTTGAGATAAGTTGGGGAAGTAGGAAAGAATCACGAAGACTGCACAGTCCAGAGGCTGAAGGATGAATAGGATGATGAGGATGAGGAGGAGGAGGTTATTCGTTCAGTTGGGTCCAACTCTTGATGATTCTGTGGGCCAGGTTCTTGAGTGGCATGTGTGACATGGAAACACTTTATAAAAACGGATTATTTCTGAACCACCTCATTTTTGACTTATGGATGGCAACGAATGGGCCACCAGGGGTTGGTTTTTAAGAAGGAGGAAACAAAGGCTGTGTCTTTATTGCAGATGGTCTCTACAAGTTCCAGGGGGTCTTCCCAGTCTGGGGTTTCATCGCCCTGGTAGGAGCTACTTTGGCTGCCCTCCTTTTTTGCACCACCAGAAATGAAGAACCACCCCGGTGCCATTTTGTGAGTCTTGGGGGAAATTGTGTGAGCTCTTTAGATGTGGTTTGGATGGCTTCTTGTGAAACCGATTCCCACCTGGTGCCGTCAACTTCTGAAATGGCCAAATATATTTCACCGCTGATGTAGCAACCATCCCACCAAGATTCCCACTAACATGAAAGGCCAACGCTGAGCTGACCCCAATAGTGATGTGGAAACCAGGTCTTACTAATGTCTGGCTCACCCTTTCCCAACGAAAGCATTCTCCAGATGTGCTGCAGGTATATATCCAACATATAAAGAACGGAAGCAGAAATGGAGGACCTATGAACAGACGCACTGAATTATTTTTCCAAGGGACACACCCTAGACAAACGGGACGTCTTTCTATTTGAAAAGGATGACTCCTTGAAATCACACTTGGAATACTGCATCCAGTTCTGGTCACCACACCACCACAACACAAAAAAGATGTTGAGACCCTGAATAATGTGCAGAGAACAACAACAAAGATTGCTAGGGGGCTGGAAGATAAAGGGTATGATGATGAATGGTTGAGGGAGTCTAGCCAGTCAAAGAGAAGATTACAGGGGACAGGACTGTCTTCAATACTTGAGGGGTTGTCACAGAGAAGAGAGAGTCAATTTCTTCTCCAAAGCACCAGAGGGCAGGAAAAGAAGTAATGGGTAAATTATTAAAGAGAGACCCAATCTAGAACTAAATTTCCTGACAATGAGAAGAATTAAGATAGGATTATAAGATGAGAAGATAAGAAGATGACATAAGATTATAAGATGAAATAATAAGATAAAATAAGATAAGATAAGATGATAAGGTAAGATAAGATATGATAAGATAAGGTAGGGTAGGGCAAAGTAAGACAAGACCAAACAAAACAAGACGGATGAGACGAGACAAGACGATAAGATTTAGATAAGCTAAGATAACCTTTGTCATTTTTTACTATGAGCATACTGGCTCACATTAAAAATGTAATCCTGTTGCCTGCTCTCAAAGTATATATCTACCCATAAACATACATAACATTATTCAGTGGAATGGCTTACTTCCAGAAGTTGTGGGTGCTCCATCACTGGAGGTTTTCACAAATAGGACAACCATTTGACCAGGATGGTATAAGGTTTCCTGTCCTTGAGCAGAGTGTTGGACTAGAAGACCTCAAGGTCCCTTCCAGCCCAACGATTCTATGTTCTGTGATGATTTTTTTTTTTTTTTAGTTAGCAAATCATGTCAACTCTTTTGTCTTTAAAACAGCTCTCTTTCGAGTTTGGGAAACTTCCACTCTGCTTAAAATACACTACTTTTTTTTTTTTTTTTGGCTCCAAATGGGGTATTTGGAATTCAAAGCAGTTCAGACTGACACTTTCTGTCTCCAGCTGTTCTGCTGATGTTATAGTTATGCATCAGCCAAGTTGCCCCCCCTCTTCAAGATGGAGAATGCAACAAGAGGCGAGATTGTGCAACCACTTGGATCTAGTCCAGGATTCTCTAAGCCTAAGGGGATCTTTCTCAATCTCGATACGTGGACTTCAGCTCCCAGAACCCTTCGCCGTAGCCATGCTATGTCCACACATCTGGAGGGTGCTTGGGTGAAGAAAAACTGTAGTAAACCATAATATGTATTATTGTCAGTTGGCATGATAAACCACTGCTTCCTGTTGGTGTGGCTTTTTTGCAGCTGTGGCTTAAAATGATGCATTTGTACGGGAGTAAGGACATGATTTCTGGTGGGGATTCTGATGGTTTTGTTTTTGTGTCCCTCCCAATCTCCAGAGGTTCAAGAAAAAACATCTTTCAGAGAGACTGGGCAGGAAGGGAAAGGAAAGGAAGGGAAGGGAGGGGGGAGAGAGAGAGCGGGAGAAAGAAAGGAAGAAAGAAAGAAAGAAAGAAAGAAAGAAAGAAAGAAAGAAAGAAAGAAAGAGAAAGAAATTAGCAAGTTAGCAAGGCAAAAGGCAAAGGAAAGGAAAAGAAAGGAAAAGGGAAGGGAAGAAAGGAAAAAAAGGAAAAGAAAGGAAGGAAAGGAAAAGAAAGGAAAAGAAGGAAGGAAAGGAAAGGAGAAAGGGAAGGGAAGGGAAGAAGGAAAGGAAATGGATGGAAAAGAAAGAAAGAAAAAAAGAAAGAAAGAAAGAAAGGGAAAGGAAAGTTTGAAATTACTTTGCTGGACTGCAAGACTGACCCCAGCTTATTCAACAGGCCATGCTAAAACACAACCAGGGTTTCACAGGAAGTGTGACTTCATCGCTCTCTCTTCCTCCTCTCCCTTTTCTTACCTCTGGCAACAGCTGTTTGCCTTCCTGGGATTCTTTGTCAGCGCCATGTGGATCAACGCTGCGGCCACCGAGGTGGTGAACATCCTGCAGACTTTAGGCATCATCTTCCGTCTCAGCAACACAGTCTTGGGCTTGACCCTGCTCGCCTGGGGAAACAGCGTCGGGGGTAAGTCGAACAAGCCATCATGTAGCCATCATCTCCAGCTACGATGGATTGCATGGCCTCCCTCTGCCGCCTTTGCTTTTTCAAAGGAGGGCTCAGATTGGCGGGTTTTGTGCAAAGCTATTTCGAGACAAAAATCCTATTGAGAATAGTTCTTTTACAGGTAGTCCTTGTATTACGACCAAACTGGGAGCCCCATTTTTTTTCTGTTTGCTAAGTGAGACATTTCTCAAAGGATGTCTTCTTTTTCTCCCAACAGACATGTTCTCCGACCTCACCATGGCGCGGCAAGGTTACCCCCGAATGGCTTTTTCGGCCTGTTTTGGGGGTATCATCTTCAGTATCCTTTGACCAGAATTGCAGGGGTCAGTTACGGTCGTAAATTGAGGACCGCTTGAATAGCAAACCTTTCTGCCCCGAATGCTTTATGGGGAGGGGGGGAGAGAAACATTCCTTGTTTCCCAAACCCCACATTTTGCATCTGTTTCTAACCCAGCTAGAACTCTGCATCCATTTCACAGCTGGAGGATTGCAACTGTTTGAAAATAACAACAATACTAACAGCCATCAATTCAAACATCCACATCTGCCTATCCCAGGTCCTCGGTAAGGACTCGATAGGTAGGCAAAAATGCCAAATCCAGTCTGAACATCTGGCTGACTGTGCGATGATCCATAATAATAATAATAATACAAAATACAAAGGCCTACAAATAGAAATAGAAAGACTGTGGCAAAGGAAAGCAAGGGTAGTACCAATAGTAATAGGCGCCTTGGGTGCAATCCCAAAACAGCTGGAGCACCACTTGAATACCATCATCGGCATTGACAAATTCACCATTAGTCAATTGCAAAAGGCAGCCTTACTAGGAACTGCTTCCATCCTGCCACGAGATCTGTAATAACATCAAACATCCACATCTGCCTATCCCAGGTCCTTGGTAAGGACTTGATAGGTAGACAAAAATGCCAAATCCAGTCTGAATATCTGGCTGACTATATGATGATCAATAATAATAATAATAATAATAATAATGATGATGAATTCAAAGTCCACCGAAGCCTTTTCCTAATCACCCTCTTCAAAAACTGCCCAGTAAAACTTGCAGAATCTTTTCTCCTGAACTCTCCTTCACCAGATATGCTTGTTGGCGTCGGGCTGGGCTGCCTTTTGCAAATGTCGAGCAGCAAATGGGTAGTCAAGGTACGAACAATCCACGTCGTGTTGTGTGTTTTGTTTCTCGGCTTTCCTTTATGCCCTCCCTGCTCTTCTGAATGGGGAAAGCAGAGGAGAAGCTGCTGGAAATGAGACCATCTGGAAATCAGGCTTTGATACAGGGTTGTTTTTTTTCCCTGCCAAAGTAGAACGGGAGAACAGCTGCAGCTGGTTCTAATGCCAGGAGATGCAAGCTACTAATAGAAGAGAATGTTTGTAGCTGGGTGTTGAAATGGGGTGGGGGGAGAGGGTCCTTGGTGTTCTCTGAGCCTTGCTTATAGACCAGGGCAAGGCACTGGTATATAAACAGAGACTTTCCTGCACACTGCAAAAGGGTCAACTAGATGGAGCTCAAAATTGTTCTGCTCTATCCAAAATATTTCCTTTTCCCCTCATTTTTTAATAGCTTGAACCGGACGGCCTCTTGGTATGGATTCTAGCAGGTGCCCTGGGCCTCAGCCTGGTTATTTCTTTCCTTTCGGTGCCTGCCCAGTGCTTCCAGCTGGGACGTGCTTATGGCTACTGTCTCATAGTCTTCTACCTGGCTTTCCTGACCATCGCGCTGCTGACCGAGTTTAGGGTGATCCGAATTTCTACCTTCTAAATGAAGCATCTCCTCTGAAGAGACGTCTCCCAAGGTTGAACTGGTTATTTACTTGAAGTTGGCGTCTTTTGGCACAAAGGCTCGCTGGCAAGGTCAAAAATAGAACTCGGTACCAGAGGTTGATGCCGGCCACTGCAAAAAAGGATGATCAATGAAAACTGGAACCATTGCTGTGACATTATGGGGTTGGCTTGCATCAATCACAGCCTTTTTATTTGATTTGGGGATTTTAGAACCAAATCAGGATTACAGGACTCCTGAGACATCTTTGGTCCCAACCCCCATCAGTGTTAGCTTTTCTAAAAGAAAACTCCTTGTTTGGATAGCCGTATATTTTTTTTTAAGGGATCCTTTTTAAGAAAGGAGATTTTATTAGAAGTATTTTTCAGTTCCTGAACTGAAGCTTGAATGCATCCCAGGTATGTACTGAATTCTTCATCCGGTCATCACCTCCATCTGGAAGCAGGGGTGTTTTCCTGACTCTTATTAAAAAAAAAGAGAAAAAAGGGATAAGGCTTCAATCATGAGTTATGCCTGCCACCTTGAGGCTCCCCCCCCCCTTTCCTGTTTTTGACTGTTAAGATAAAAGTTTTATCCAGAAAAAAAAGCACAGAAGAAAACTGTCTCATGATTGGAATCTGAATTCAGATTCAGTTGACAATTTAGCTATAAATGGCATTATCCATCCATAAGAGGCGTACTTGTAGATTTGCTGCTGAATTAATATTAACATGAAAGGACCATGGAATAATTGCTGACTGCCAGCGAAAAACATAATAAGCTGGGTGTGTTCACTAGCATGCTTCTCCACCTTATTGCATTAGCCCACTTTCAAGGCTTGTGCAAACCCCACTGACTTGCAAATCAGCTAAACAGATTGGGTTTATCCAATGCACCAAACTAAAATTAGGATTCAAAGCCATCAAGATCGGAGTGGCGGACAAATGAAACTGCTGTTTTTGTAACTGACCAAGGAAAGCATGCCTTGTGAACACAGTCACTGTTGTTGAAAAGGGACATGATTTGCAAGCTTGTGACAAAAAAAACGGGCAGCTTTTATTGTCTCTGAAGGCAAGGCTGGAAGTCCTGTAGACTGTAGAGTCTTTGGTGGTCTGAGCTTGATGGTTTTCTTGCAGACGTTTCATTACTCAACTAGGAAACAACATCAATGCTAGAAAGGGAGTGCTCGTATTTTGCCCTGTCCGCCATTAGCACTGATGTTATTTCGTTGGGTAATTGTCTACGGAGATTCTTAAGTCATCCAAATCCTGGTTGTCCCAAAAGGTGCTTTTTCAATAGGCAACTGGACTTTCTTTGTTTTTTCCTTGAAGACGTTTCGCTTCTGATCCAAGAAGCTTCTTCAGTTCTGATTGCGAGTCAGAACTGAAGCCAGAACTGAAGAAGCTTCTTGGATGACGAATGAAATGATTTTAAGGGGGAAAAAAATCAAGAAAGTGTAGTTACCTTTTGAAAAAGCACCTTGGGGATTAGTCGGGTAATGTCTGCAAGAAAACCACCAAGCTCAGAGAGCACCAAGGACCCCACAGTTCTCCTCCTCCTGCTCCTTCCTGCAAACCCTGCTTTCTCTTCTACCACTGATGATGTTACCTAGTTGGGTCATGAAATGTCTGCAAAAAAACTACCAAGCTCAGAGACCACCAAGGACCCCACCGTTCAACGCTGAGCTACAAATATTCTCATCTATCGGTACCTTCCAGACTTGTTCATCAGAATAAGAAAAGAAGAAGTGTGTTTGGGGGCAAAACGCATTGCAAGCAAGATATTTTGATGACCAATTTTTTTGTTCTTAGTTCGTCTTCCCTTCCCTATTTTTCTGATGTCCTTGAAAGAAGTTTTTAGTTTGCTCTTCCCATTTCCCCCCTTTTCTTTCAGTTCTTGGGCTGGTGGAGCAAATAGGATGTCTGTATTTAATATGATCAAAGACATTGCTCCGTAAGCACTCCAAACTGTTGGCTTGTTTGCAGGAAAGTCCAGGCTGAACAATCTTTTTAAAATTCTTTTTGTCTTGTTTCTCTGCTAAGTCAGTCATGATGAGTAAAACGTACACTCTGACATACATATAATTAAGAACGGATCTTTTTTTTTCAGATGTACCCACCCAGCTGTGCACCAGGGTTTAACATGTTCTTCTCAACTTTCTTTCCTTCATTTCTTTCCTTTCCCTTCCTTTCCTCCCCTTTCCTTTTGTTTTTCTTTTTTCCATTTCCCTTTCTTTTTTTCCTTCTTTCTTTCTCTTTCTCTCTCCTTCCTTCCTTCCTTCCTTCTTTCCACTGTTCCTCTGGTCTTCTGTCACCCACAGCTGGTGGATTTCAATCTGCCTAAGTCAGCAATTGCACAGGCTGGGTGTTGACCATGTGCAAATGTGGTTTATTCAGCTGTTGGGTGGTGGCTGCTTAAGGCTGACATCACAATCCACAGGTCAGTGAGGAGAAGAAGAAATATTGAAGCAGACTTCTTCCAAAAGAGACAATCAAACTGCTAAAACACCTCCTGGCTAGCAGTCAACACCTAGATAAGCGGAGATCAACACCAGGATTAATACTAGACAAATAAACAGCTGTGGCCATATATAACAGTTGGAAGGGACCTTGGAGGTCATCTAGTCCAACCCCTTGCTCAGGCAGGAAACTCTATACCATTTCAGACAAATGGCTGCCCAGTCTCTTCTTAAAAACTTCCAGTGTTGGAGCATTCACAACTTCTGGAGTCAAGTTGTTCCATTGGTTAATTGTTCTGTCAGGAAGTTTCTCCTTAGTTCTAGGTTGCTTCTCTCCTTGACTAGTTTCCATCTGTTGCTTCTTGTCCTGCCTTTAGGCGCTTTGGAGAATAAGGGAAACGTTAAGGTCTGGTGGCCCAGATCTGCATCTTTGCTCATTTCTGTAAATACATTTAAATTCCATTGAGCTTTTCTATGTTTAATGATCTACCTCAAAGAACCGACATGCTGTAATTTACCTTCCCGTTTTGATGTAAGAAGATGTCAATTTAGTAATAAAAGAGCATCGATCAATTACAGGCTTTGGAGGTGTGTTTGTGTGAAACCACTGCGAATAGTTTCTTGACGTTTTCTTTATCTAGCACTTTAGATAGTCCTCGATTTACGGCCGCGACCGAGCCCACAATTTCCATTGCTAAGCGAGACAGTTGTTAAATGGGAGTTTCCCCTCGTTTTGTGACTTCTCTTGCCCAAGTTGTTAAATGAATCACTGCAGTCCTGAAGTTAGTAACGTTAAGCGAGTCGGGCTTCCCCCATTGACTTGTCAAAAGTTCACAAAAGAGGTTCACGTGACCCCTCCCCCCGGGGACACTGCGACTTCATAAATATGAGTCAGTGGCCAAGAATCCGAATATTGATCTCATGAGATGCTTCACAGTTGTGGAAAACGGTCATAAATTACTCTTTACAGTTCTGTTGTGCTTTTAAGACTGCCCTAAATATAAAAAGGGAGATGCCGAAAGAGGGTTAAAAAGGTTTATTAAACGTTATGTAAACATCTTTATAATACTGTTTCGGACATTGTTATAGCGGTCATACGAATTTCCCAGTATCCCAAACCCTTTCGTATCCCCCTACGAGTGATTGTCTTTGGAGTTTAGAGCAGAAAAAAAGATATTTAGGAAGGAACATCCCTGCCTTCTTTTGAAGTTTGTTTTCCTTCCAAGAGACTCAGGAAAAAAACAACAACTTTCTGGAGTTATTTCTAGCTTATATCATAAACAAGAATGAAAAATAACAAACACATGCAAAAAAAAAAAAAAGACTCCATTTTACTTGGTATGGAGTTTCCAGCCTCTCTTATTGCTGCATAGAGGAAGGAAATTTGAAATTAAAATTTTTTTTTGCATTTACTATCCAGGCTGACAGTAAGGGAAAAAAATTAAGTTTTATGCTTAGGTGTGACATAACTGTAGTGCATCAAAATTGGGAGTCACTTTCCTTCCAGTGATTGGTGTCTGAACACTAAAATTAAGCTTGGCAACATTAAATCTCGCTTGAGCTAACCGGAAAGGCCACTGCTGTAGAATCATTGTTTCTCAACCTTGACAATTTTAAGGCATGTGGACTTCAACTCCCAGAATTCCACAGCCAGCACTGCTGGCTGTGGAATTTTGGGAGTTGAAGTCCACATGCCTTAAAATTGTCAAGGTTGAGAAACACTGGTTGGTGCCAAGCAAATTCTCATGAACACGTGCACGTATGTTTGGGTCCTTGGCTGACGAGCAAAACAATTCTAAATTATAAAGTGGCCAGCATTCACTTCCATTTAGTGGCACCACCAAAACGGTCAGTAAGCGAGAGAAACGTCACCCAGGCTTCTGTTTGAAAAAAATAGCAAACCGAGAACGTACAAAGCCAGGCGTTGTTGCTTCAAATCCAAAGCTCAAAAATGTGCTTCGGAGTTGTCGTGCATCCTACACATGGCCAGCAGCTCCGTCAAGAAGCTGGGCTTGGCTGTGCATCGTCGCCAGACAATCCCAGGAAAAATGTGTGTTCCAGTTAGAAAGGGCTGAGGGGGCAGGTAAGGTGCTTTGAGGATCTGCAGGCACCGGCAGTCAGCAGCACCTGCCTCTTTGGAAACGTTACTTCCCAGAGAGCATGCAATTATTTTGCAAACCTTGGGAAAGATACCTTTTTTTCACACAAATGGGGGTGATTTAGAGACCCCCTCTCCACCCATTCTGAAATTCCATTTTTTTGCTCGGAAGCTAAAACATGGCCTATCCCTAAGGAATGATGATTGGAATCTGTTCCGCTTCAAACTATCCCCCCCCCCCTTTTTTTTTTTTTTAAGAATTAGCAAACCTGATCAATATAGCAGGATGAAATACTTTCCCTGAATTGGTCACATAATGCCCTTTTGAACCAATAGTAGTTTTTTTTTTTAAAATGCCCTTTTTCTCTCCTTAAAGGTCCTTAAAGCAACCTTCTGGTGGACTTCAACTCCCAGAGTCGTCCCACAGCCCAGGAATTCTGAATTTGTGGCCATCTACCTTATAAAATATTTGCATTCTTTTTAGGAAGAAAACAGACGATCAGGATCATGGGTGCAGGAGCTCTTATTTCCACAACTGGGTGTCCTCTTATAGTGTTAAGACTACAACTGCAATCTTCCACAGCCATTAATTTAGCTCTTAGGGACGTGAACTGGGAGATACCAGCGTAGAACGAGCTGCTTAAGAAAGACAGGAAAATTTCATTTATGTGACTGTTTATCTCACACCCACCCCTTATTTGAAATAAAATAAACTAACCAACTGGAAAACAAATTTAGCTCGTACAAAGCCAACCCTTCTCCCATTATTGATTTAGCATGGAAATAATATTGTCGTTTTTAAATGAAGAACTATTCCAGAGAGTTAGCAGACATAAGAAAACAAATTCCTAATTATTCTAGGTTTGCTGTCCTCTAAGATTACAGAAGGGGCAAAGAAAAGAAAAAAAAAAGGGGAGGGGGGTGAACCCTGTCTTTTCTGCTTATAAATTGGCAGGAAAAAAAAAGCAAATTCCATTTACCATTTGCTAATTAGCAATCAAGATTAACAGATGGAGACAAACCTGGATGAGCTGAACCCTTCTTTGCATATCGAGACAAGCATAGTGTGTTGTCAAAGCAAAGAACGCCCAACAAAATACACAATCTGCTTGTTGGGTTTCTCTTGTGGAGGTCTTCCTAAAAGACTGGGTGACCCATTAAGGAATTTCTGCAGAAGTGAATCCACAATAAAAACCTGATTAGACCGTGATCCCGAGATTATGTTTGTCTTTTCTGTGAAAGAATTATTGCTTTCGTATAATGCCTTATCGGCATAGGGGCTTTCATACAATGCCCACTGGCAGCGTTTAAGAGTTAATACAACTGATTACCGGGCAGGATTGCTTCAGGATTTAACACCACACCTACTTGCTAGGTTAACTTCTGGGCCGTTGCTGTTCTTAGCTCCAGGTAGATGGCACTGCAAATGTTCAGATCCCAGGAAGAATTGTTATGCCAACACAGGACCGAGTCTGTGAGCAGGATAAGAGTCTTAGACATTCAGGATCTCACAAAAGCAAGAATCCATTTCTGCTAAGATGCTCTGAAACTCATTTGGTCCTGGGTTCCGTTGCCTGCCCGAGCGCCTTGCTATGTTTTGGTAAAAAACTGCTAAGCAATTACTGGAGTACGAGCAGTCTTTATAGATGCTGATGAACTACAAAGGGCGGGGGAAACGAAGGGGTGGTGTAAAATACATCTGCATTACTTCACTCAACTGCATGTAGTGCACCACGGTTACAGAGCGAGCAATGTTGTCGATGCTTGGCGATTCAACCTACTTTCTGGCCTTTTCTAGCCCATCTCAATTGCTGATGGAAGATGGCATGGCAGTTATGCCAGGATGGGCACCCTGTTTGCTGGCAAACAGGGCCAGCTTTCAACCCTCTACCCCAGCTCCGCCACAGCAACCAGCGTTTCGCCAAAGAACCCAACGGCAACAAGGACAAAACACACCGGTCTTCTCCAAAAAGAAGGTCCAGTGGTCCTTCAACCAGGAAGGACTTTGCATGACTCTCCCATGGCAATAACTGCAAGGTCAAGAGTCTTTCCAGACACCCCCCCCCCACGCTCAAAGGAAAAAGGAGGAGACAAAAATTAAAAATAGTAATAATAAAAATGGTCAACTCTCTCATGAGATGAAATGAAATCTCAAGCGATCAGGACCGTCAAAGAAAAATCTGATTGAGGGGAGGCTGTAGAGGCCCCCGTGTCGCCAAACCCAGGCTGAACGCGTAGGAGAACGAGCTTTCGGTCAACCAAGTTCAGATGACAGTTTGCGAACGCTGCCGGAGGGCAGGAGGGAGGAAGGTCTGGTTGAGCAACTCCTCATCTTCCTGCCAAGGATGCGGTTGTTCCTCTCTTCTGGAATGTTCCTCGTACCACTCCTGAGAATGGAAGATGGGGGTCATTACAACAGAATGCCCAGCCAGGGAAAACGAACAGGAGCCATATCAGACAGACCCCAAAAATGTTTGTGGGGGCCTATTCTATTTCTATTTATTTCTATTTCTATTATTTCTATTTCTATTTTACTCTACTCTATTCCTTATTCTATTATTCTTATTATTCTACTCTACTCGACTCTGTATTCTATTCTATTTTTTTATTTTATTATTTTATTATATTTATTTTATTTTATTCTATTATTCTATTCTACTATTTTATTTATTATATTTTATTATTTTATTTTATTATTTTATTTTATTAGATTTATTTTATTTTATTAGATTTATTTTATTTTATTATTGTTTTGTTTTGTTTTGTTCTGTTCTGCTCTATTCTTATTCTTTCCTGTCCCTTATTCTATCCCATTCCATTCCATATTTTCTATTCCACTCCCCTCCCCTCCCCTCTCAGCAGGCCATGTAGCCATGTTATTCTATTCTTATTCTTATTATTCTACTCTACTCTACTCGACTCTGTATTCTATTCTATTCGATTATTTTATTTTATTATTATTCTATTCTATTCTATTCTATTATTTTATTATATTTTATTTTATTATTTTATTCTATTCTATTTTATTTATATTTTATTTTATTATTTTATTAGATTTATTTTATTTTATTGGATTTATTTTATTTTATTTATTATTATATTATATATTATATTATGTTACATTGTTTTATTTTACTATTCTATTCTATTCTATTCTATTCTATTCTATTCTATTCTATTCTTATTCTTTCCTGTCCCTTATTCTATCCCATTCCATTCCATATTTTCTATTCCACTCCCCTCCCCTCTCGGCAGGCCATGTAGCCATGTTGGCACCCATAAATTGGCTCTTCGGTTATCCACCGTAAAATTACTGCCCAAGATACCTCCATGGCATTGATGTCCACCAACCTACCTGAATCTCTTCTTCATACATTTTCATACTTAAATCAGTTTTGGTCCTCGAACGCCGGCCCAGGAACAGCATGGTGGTTTGCTAAAAGCAGCAGAAGATAAATGGTGAGAAGGATGCCTCATCTCAGCTAGACAGGAGGACTACTTTACTTCCTACTCTGAACAGCCGTCCCCAGTCCCGTTGACTCACCCGGTGCCTGTCCATTTGGGAAATGACCTTGAGAAGTTGGCTAGCTGCCAAGCTGTCGCCTTGCCTCCCGTAGGTCTCGGCTAAGCCCCCAATTTCTTCCTTGGAGATCTCCCTCTCCAGCACGATCCCGCTGTCTTCTGCTGGGGAAAAGAAATCGAGGGATGAAGCCAGCTGCTAGATAACAGGAGGAGAAAGAGCTGGAAAAGAAAGGTCCAGCTTCCCTGGAATTCTTTCACAGACAGCTTCTTGGCTTTTTCTAGAGGAAAATCATTTCAGATGCCCCTTGGTTCTTGGATTCTAATCAAGCCCACCAGGGAGAAGATTGATAGGAAACGAGACCTGCAACACAAGCAGAGGGCAAATATCTCCCACGTACCTTCTGAATCCCGATTCTTGCGGGCATAATTCATGCGGAATACAAATGCTTCCAGTATAAAAGCTACTATGATTGTCATCACCACCTGGGGGGGAAAAAATACAAAGTCAATGGTAATAGGACTGCTAACCTCTTGGTCTCTGTTGGTGGCCAAGCTGTAGCAACATCCCAAAAATGTTAAGGGTGAAGTTTTTGATGCTCTCTGAGCTGGGTGGTTTTCTTGCAGACGTTTCATGACCCAGCTAGGTAACATCATCAGTGATGGAAGGGAGTGGGGTTTGTAGAGAGGAGGAGGAGGAGGAGGAGGAAGAGAACTGGGGGGCCCTTGGTGCTCTCTGGGCTTGGGCGGTTTGCTTGCAGATGTTTCCTGATCCATCTAGGTAACACCATCACGTTACCTAGTTGGGTCATGAAACGTCAACAACAGGGGTCTTCAAACTTGGCCCTTTTATGACTTGTGGACTTCAACTCCCAAAATTCCTCAGCCAGTATATGCTGGCTGAGGAATTCTGGGAGTTGAAGTTCTTCTCACTGCAATAATAATAATAATAATAATAATAAGAAGAAGAAGAAGAAGAAGTAGTAGTAGTAGTAGTTATTGTTCTTTGCACTTTCCCTTTTCCTTAACTTTTCCTTTATAGATTTTCACGTTTATCTTTTTACTCCCGTAAACATTTCCAATAAAAACATATTAAAACAACATTAAAAAAAAATGAAATAAAAACAGTCATCTAAACGGGCATCTGATGGCCGAAGCATCTTGTGCAATCTGCTCACCATGGTCACGATGTAGAAAATCATGAAATAAAGACGACTCCAGTGAGAAGTTTCTGAGGTCACCCCTTCCTGAAAAAAAACAAAACAGAAAAACGAGAACTTGAAGTGGCTGGTGGTGGGCGGGAACCACAAAGGCACTCTCTCAATACATAAATCAGGGGTCTTCAAACTTGGCCCTTTTATGACTTGTGGACCAACTCTCAGAATTCTATCTTTTATCTCTTTATCCTCTATGTATCTCTATGTATCTCTATGTCTGTCTGTCTGTCTGTCTGTCTGTCTGTCTGTCTGTCTATCTATCTATCTATCTATCTATCTATCTATCTATCTATCTATCTATCTATCTATCTATCTATCTATCTATCTATCTAACCATTGCTCATATTTAAGGGGTCTTTGAGGCAATATTCTGGAACTAAAAGGGCCGGAAAGATGATGGTATTTAAGTGACACGCGATTGCTCCAACACAGAAGGGGGTTCTCGGTAGACTTACCATGACGATGTACCAATCGTTGACTACCGTCAACTCAAAGAGGGTCACTGCACAAAAAAAGGGAAGGTTAAGAGACAATTAAACAGGAAACAATTCAAGGATTCGCGACATCAACCTCTGAAGGTCATTCCCAACCTTCAGATGGTGCAGAGTCGCGGTGGCGCAGTGGTTAGAAGGCAGCATTGCAGGCTAACTCACTGCCCACAGCCAGAGGTTTGATCCTGACCGCCTCAAGGTTGACTCAGCCTTCCATCCTTCTGAGGTCGGTAAAATGAGGACCCAAATTGTTGGGGGGGGGGCCAAGAGGCTGACTCTGTAAACTGCTTAGAGAGGGGCCGTAAAAGCACTTACCGAAACTGTTCAAAATGTTGTCGAAGTTGTTGAGATAGTAGTAGCCTTGCTCCACCACAGTCTTGTTCCCAACGGTGCGGTTGACCCAGCGAAAGGCGTCGGCCACCGTGCTGGTGCTGGGTGAGGAAATAAGAAAAGAGCAAACTGAGGGAGGAGGCTCTGGATTCAAAAATCTGTTTTTACAAGGGTCAGGTAAAAGACTGCATAGTGGGGCAAAGGCTCAGAAGAGACCCTCCCTAGTTTCTTGGGCTGAAAAGAAGATGGAGGCTGTCCTCAACTTACAGCAGTTCATTTAGTGGCAATCACTGAAAAAAGCGACTGATGACGTTACCTAGTTTGGTAGTGAAACGTCTGCAAGAAAACCACCAAGGACCCCACAATCCTCCTCCTGCTCCTCCTCCCCACAAGCCCCACTCCCTTCCAGCACTGATGGTGTTAGTTGGGTAATGAAACGTCTGCAAGAAATACACCAAGCTCAGAGAGCTCACCAGACCACAGAGCTTGTTGAAAACCTGTTCCCATCATCCCTGGCTGAGATGAAAAAGTTAGGAGCGAAACAATGGAGGGATCAGAATTTGTCACTTCAGCTCTACTATAGCAAACGACACTGTTCCATGTGCAAACCGAATCTACGTATATTTACTTTCAGACTATACAGTAGGAACATGTAGATACTTACTTACAACAGTTTGGGTAGAGTTTCCCAGAGAAGAATTCCATGCCAACAATGGCAAAGCAGTAGTAGAAGATGAGTAGGGTTAGGCATAGGCTAGAAGACAAAGGAGAAGGTTGGGAAAAATGTAATTCAACAAGGTGGATTTTTAACAGAATAATAAGAGTCTGAAGGGACCCTGGAGGTCTTCCAGTCCAACCCCCTGCTCAAGCAGGAGAACCTATATGTAGGCTTCAATTCCCCAGCAGCAAAGTCAGGCAGGAATCTTTCATTCTCGGTACCTGCCCATCCTAGGAAGAAGTTCAAACATCGTATCCAAGACATTGCGGTAACGTTTCTTCAGTTTAAACAGCCTGCAATAAGGGAAAGAACAAAAAAAATGCATGACTGTGTAGAGCAACTTAAAGATATGTGGACTTCCAAAACTCCTCAGCCAGCATGCTTTAAGATGAGAGGCCTTTATTCCCAGAATTCCCCAGGTAGCATGCTTTAAGACTGGAGGAGGAGGAGGAGGAGGAGGAGGAGGAGAAGGAGAAGAAGAAGAAGAAGAAGAAGAAGAAGAAGAAGAAGAAGAAGAAGAAGAAGAAGAAGAAGAAGAAGAAGAAGAAGAAGAAAAAGAAGAAGAAGAAGACGCAGAAGAAGGAGAAGGAGAAGGAGAAGGAGAAGAAGAAGAAGAAGAAGAAGAAGAAGAAGAAGAAGAAGAAGAAGAAGAAGAAGAAGAAGAAGAAGAAAATGAAAGAACTTAAAGGAAGAGGAGGGGGAAGGAGAGAGAGAAGAAGGAGGAGGAGAAGGAGGAGAGGAAGAAGAAGAAGAAGAAGAAGAAGAAGAAGAAGAAGAAGAAGAAGAAGAAGAAGAAGAAGAAGAAGAAGAAGAAGAAGAAGAAGAAGAAGAAGAAGAAGCAGAAGAAGAAGAAGAAGAAGAAGAAGAAGAAGAAGAAGAAGAAGAAGAAGAAGAAGAAGAAGAAGAAGAAGAAGAAGAAGAAGAAGAAGAAGAAGAAGAAGAAGAAGCAGCAGCAGCAGCAGCAAGGGGATTCTGGGACCTGTAGTTTCTCATAGCTAGAGGACCCCCAGTTCTGCATGTATCTGACCCATCCTGTATCTTCACCTCAGTAACTGCAGAGGCCGCAGCACAACAATGAAGTAGAAGGGTTCCATATCGAACGCCAGTGCCAGGAGACCCAAGAACGCAAACAAAGTCACAGCAAAATCGAAACTGGGAAAAAACATGAGACAGAAATGGATTTTCTGAGTGGGACCTGCAAGCTACCTCCCTACAAGTCCCCTTAAATGGGACTTTTAAACACCCCTGAAATGGGAGAGACTTACAGATTCCAGCCAGAAGAGAGATACTCTTTAGGTCCCAGGCCAGTGACCTTCAACAGCACTTCGACCCCGTAGACTGTCAACACAGAAGAGGAAGCGCCGGGATTGTGGTTTTCAATCCCCGTACAATATTGTCCAATAACAACAACGGTGTCCAATATTTGTGTTTCATCAGCACCCCAATTTATTCTTTTCTTGACCGAGCTCGAATGTCGAGACATTTTTATTCTCTAAGGAGGCCTCCACGTGCCTTCTTGGAAAACCAAGTTGCTGAAGACTTACTTGTAAGGAACATGATGTAACTCCAGGGTACGTCTCGGGAAAAGATTCCGTCTGGAAAAGAAACCGCAGAGGGTTGCAGAGAAGAGCGGAAATCCCGACAGAAGGAAAGGAATAATAATAATAAAAAAAATTTAATTGTGTTGTGTGCTACCTCGCAACATGAAGGTTTCCACTAGAATCCAGAGACCGTTCACGGCCACCAGAACATCTGCAAGACACGATGGAAAACGACACAGTTTTCAAACCAAGCACAAAGTGGTGCAAAAGTCACTCTTTTTCAGCACCATTGTAGCTTCAGTCGCTAAATGAACCGTCGTGAGTTTTGTAAGCTGAGGACTACCTATAACTTTGGTTTTCCTTGGTTCTTGGGGCCCGCTGTCAACTTTGAAATTGATCAACGTACTGGCAAAACAAAACACCATTTAATATTACTACGCTGAGTAACTCTATCCATTCACGCCCTCTCCCTCCCCCCTCCCCCATGAACAGAGGGAAGACTTACACATGCCATACTGGAAAGCCCGAGAATTCACTAATATGTTAATACCTGTTGAAAGGAAAAAGAGATCAGAAAAAAAACAATGAAATGCTTTTATGTATATCTATATATAACATCGTTCTTGCTGGTTTCTTTGAAATACCCCCAGCTGGTTTCTTCTCCCTTTTTCTCACAGAGATCAAGGGGTTGCCTTACTCTCTTACTCCAAAGCACCTGAGGGCAGGATGAGAAGTAACGGATGGAATCTCATCAGAGGCAGACCCAGCCTGGAACTAAGGAGGACGTTCCTGACAGTGAGAGCCATTAACCAGTGGAACTGCTTGCCTCCAGGAATTCTGGGTGCTCCATCATTGGGGGCTTTCCAGAAGAGACTGGGTAGCCACTTGTCTGGAATGCTGGAGCAGGGGGTTGGACTAGAGGACCTCGAAAGTCCCTTCCAGCCCTAGGATTCTATGTTCTGTAGAAACACAGAGTATTTACCCTTAAAAATAAGGAAAGCCGTCCCAGGAAGGTCATCAAACCAATGTTCCCGGTTCCGTTTTGCCTGGAAAAGAAAGCAGCCAGAATCAGCTTTGGTTCACTTTCAGGGCTGGGCTAGAGGACCTTAAGAGCCCTTCTCCCTCCAGAATTCCTTCCTTCTTTCCTTCCTTCCTCCCTTTTCTTCTTTCCTTTCTCCCCTTCCTTCCTTCCTCCCTTTTCTTCCTTCCTTCCTTCCTTCCTTCCTTCCTTCCTTCCTTCCTTCCTCTTCTTCTTTCCTTTCTCCCCTTCCTTCCTTCCTTCCTTCCTTCCTTCCTCCCTCCCTCCCTCCCTCCCTCCATGATTCTTCCCAGTGTTTGTTCTCCCCAGAATGTCCCTTTTGTTCTTCCCCATTCTAGAGGCTCACCTCCCATCCAGCCTCACTCCCCCCCAAAGACCCCCAAACAGCTCAAACTGACAACTTTACCTTCCATTTCAAACCAGCCACTTCGTAGAAGCTGTACATGTCCTTCAAACTGAAAGAGACAATGATTCTCTTTCAGAGGGGGGGCCTTTTCTACCTGCATTCAATCCTCCAGTTCACATGTGTCTTAAGATTTTCTCCACCAGATTGCCAAGCCCCCCATCCCCCAGTTCAAGAGTTTAAAATAAAGTCTGGGAAAGAGTTTGTCACGCAAGTGCTTTGTGCACGCCAACTCAGCTAAGAGAGAGAGAGAGCTAAAAATAAGGATTGTTGCATCACTAGATTTGCTGAGGGCTGCAAAAAAAAAAAAAAGGGAGGCAAATCTTCGAGCAAAGATTTTGTTCCTTTTATAAGAACATTTCACTGTGGTCCTCTATGGTCCTTACTATAAAATTGGTTAACCGCTTAGCACACAAGACTGCCAGATGCTCACACTGTGCTATTGTAACGCACTGACACATATGTACACCCACAGCCAAGCATGTCCCTCAGCTATTTTACTCCATCTTTGCACAACATGTTAAGGCTACCACACACATAAAACCACATGGGTCTTTTTTAATAATTATAACCGTTATAATTATAAATTTACTAGCTTAAATACGATACAGCAAATGTTAAGGGAAACAGAGAAGGAATTTTGGGATGATGTAACCTGAGCTATGTACTAAAGATTTTGTTATTGTACTATTGACTACCCAACCACCACGCTGCTTTCTAAACACTTAAATGTAAAACTGGAAAACCAATAAAAACTTGTTATATATATAACAAGTTGTGGCTAACTTCTTAAGATACAGGGACTGTTTGACTTAACGACCGTTTAATGATGGTTTAAAGTGACAAGGGTCCCAGAACATCCCAAATGAGCTTCCCCCCCCCAAAAAAAAGGCACAGTGGTTCTAACGTGGTTCTAACACAGTGGTTAGCACTGCAGTCTAATTCTGCTGTAGTTTGTTTGGGGGGAAAGGAAAGTTTCATAGTCTTTCCAGCTTCTTCCATGGGACAGGGAAAGAAAAAAAAAAGCTTTGTCCTTACCTGACTAAAGGGCTGCTGCTTTGACTCAGTGCTTTGAAAGTCAGATAACGGTCCCGAACATTCATCCGGGGCGCGTAGAAGCGCAACAGGCCATCAAACTGCTTGAAAGCAATCCCAGAGGGTCTCTAGAGACAAAAAAAAAAAAAAAAAAAAAGGAAGTTACGCAGAGCATGTACAGAGGGCAGACTACTGCAAGTAGCCCTTGACTGACAACAGCTTGTTTCCTGAGCAAAGTTACAACGGCACTGGAAAAAAAAGTCTCTTCTTGAAAGCATTGAGTGATGGAGCATCCACAAGTCGTTCCACTGGTTAATTGTTCTCACTGCCAGGAAATTTCTCTTTAGTTCTAGGTTGCTTCTCTCCTTGATGAGTTCCCGTCTGTTTTTTCTTATACTGCCTTCTGGTGCTTTGGAGAATAGCTTGACTCCCTCTTCTTTGAGGCAGCCTCTCAAATACTGGATGACCGCCATCAACTGCTGCAGCTCTTCCTCCTGTTTCTCAAGGTTAGTCTCACAGCTCATCACCACACCTTTCTTCCTGGAGATACCCTCCCCCCCCATGTGTACCCAGGACCACCTACCCACCTGTTTGCTAACCAGCAGGCGGTAGGCGTGCTGGATGGCCATGCGCTTGTGAAGCAAGAGTGACCGGAACTTCATTTTTTCAATGGCACTGAAGGTATCAAAGACGACAGCCAGGAGCTGCAGGAGAAAGAGAGAAAGCGGGAAGCACAAATCAAGAACATGGCGGCCTAAACGGACAGGAGGGAAGTCTCAAAAGTCAAGCTGGGAGGTAGGACTTCACAGAGAGATTAGGGGAAGCTTGCAACCAACTTCTGGCGGAGGCAGACGGAGTTTAAACACGCTTGGGGATTAAACTTTTAAAAATAAATAAATGAAATAAAATAACAACATAATACCTAGTCAAAGCTCCCATCACTGGCTCCGATGCTTCCAGTGATGTGGAGCTGTCTTAATATGGGAGGGGCCATTCTTCAACTCAAAGCAGTCCATATATGATCACACTTGCATCCATCTCTAGGTCCACTTGGGAAGCTGCTGCTCTGGAATCCCTCTTCCTCTTTTCCCCATAACAACAACCCTGTGAGGTTTTTGAGAAGGAGGGACTGGCCCGAAGTCACCCAGCTAGCTTTCGTGGCTAAGGTGGGACTAGAAATCAGAGTCTCCTGGTGATTGGCCCAAAGCCACCCAGTTGGCTTTCACGCTAAGGCGGGAACTAGAACTCCCAGTCTCTTAGTGATTGGCCCAAAGTCATCAAGTCAGCTTTCATTACGGCAGGACTAGAACTCGTGGCCTCCTGCTTCTTAGTCTAGTGCCTTAACCACTAGACCCAACTGGCTCTGTTACAGATGTATGAAAGAGACGGTCTGGCTGGAGGTGCTGAAAGACCCAAGATTTAAATCAGGAGAAAGAATCAGCAAGCATTACCCCAAAGGTTGGACGCTGTGCTTACCAAATTCATAATGAAATACAACTCGATGGAAAGATACACAATGAAAAAGATACAGGACCACGGGTTTCGGGCATAAGAAGGCATCATCACGTCAGGGAAACTAGGTCCAAAAGAAAGAGAGAAGAGAAACGGTCAGCCGTAGCAGGTAGGCCAGCTAGGAAACAGGATGAGAGATAATTCTACTTCATTGTAAAGCTACATTAAGAGAATCTCCACCCATCTCCTTTATAACCTGAGAATTGTGTCTCTTCCTCCTCTTATCTCTCCTGCCCCCTTTACATCTCAAGAGACTAGAGGGGGTGTCTTTTGAACCACTTTCTACACCCATTATGCAGCTGTGGGTTGTGCCATCTGACCCTTCCCTTGGCTGTGTCTCTGGGACCCGTTCCTCAAGGTCTTTCCCACGTATCATTACATAATAAGCCAACAAATAATTGCCTCCGTTTAGACCGACAATTAGAGGAGATTTTATGGCGAAAGGCTGTGTACAACACTTCTGTTCTCCAGAAGATAGTCACACCATCCCCCAAAAGTCACGGCTGTGCTGAGATGTGGCAGGTAGCTATTATCTGCCTACTCTGAAATGATTTTCGGAGACCGATCTTGAAGCGGTGCCCGACTCCAGGGAAGACTGCATCCAGTCCCCCAAAAAATACTTCTGACCAGGAACAGCTTCAATGTTTAATTTGTTAAAAAAAAAATCAACAGTTTTAATTTGTTAAATTGTGTTGGCTGCCTTGAGGAGTTCCAACCAAATCACTAAATTACGAAAAAAAAATTTGAGGGTTGCATTATGTAAGGAGGCAAAATTAATGAATTAATGAACTGATTAATTTTGCCCCCTTGTATAATTCGTTCATTCATTCCTCCTTCAAAATTAATTACTCCTTGTAAAATTGACTGCAATTTATATAGGATGCTTGTGCGTTTTAATTCCCGTTTGTTTATTTACGTCAATAATTTTATCTTTACCTTATTTTATCCCATTGGTTTTTATGAACATTTTTATGTAAAATAATTTGTTCTGAGGTCCATGCTGGTCTATGGCCAAAGTTAAGATTAACTGATTGACAAAAAGACAATTTAATTTTGCACTTCCCAAACAAATGTCGAAAAACAGATTTGCTTTGGGTTTTCTGACTTCTCCCTGTTTTAAAGGTCTCCGATAATTCAGCAGAGATGACTTTATCCACCCTCTTTCAAATAAAGATGCTTAAACACGAGCTGCTGGAAAAGCAAGGTGGCAAGTTTTCCTCTGCCCTCCCATCACCGTCACCTCGACTGTGGCTTCTCAAGAACCCAAGTCTTACTTGGCAGTAGTGAGAAGAACGAAAAGATTCACCAGGCTGTTCTCCAAAGTGTTGAAATACTGCAAAAGAATGAAAAAAGCACCGCGAAGAAAGAAAATGAAAAAAGATGAGTCTGAATTGTCGGGCCCAGAAGAATCTCAGATGCCTCTCAGGTTAAGCGAACAGATAGATAATGTTTACCTGACATGGCCCCCCCTATTACAGTTTTCGTTATAGGAAGTTCTCAACTTACAACCTTTCATTTAGTGACTGCTCCAACGTTACAATTGGAAAAAGGTGACTTATGACTGTTTTTCACACTTACGACCTTCGCAGCATCACGTGATCAAAATCTGGAAGGTCCTTGTTTAGCAACAGAAATTCTGGTCCCATGGCAGAGTGGAGGACTACCAGTATTACCTTCCACTTCTCCCTGGCACCTAATGACCAGGGCTTCCTATAGATAGCAATCATCTCTACGCTATGCCAAAGAATTGGACTCGATATGAACCAGACATTCTTTCTATACACAAATCACCCCTCTCTTAATTTGGCTGAGCCTAGTGACAAGATCTGTCAGAAGAAATGCCCAATTATAAAACCTGTAGCCTCGCCCTCTTGAGGCCTAGAAACTCATGCTTAAAAAATGATTCTATTGCTAGGTGTGGTATGAGAAAGCCTTGGAAAATTAAATAGGCAGTTTCTTCGGGGCATTTAAAATTGCGAAGAGTTGCACTGTCCCAAGTGTAAAGAATATTTTGAAGTATCTTGCAATAAAACTCCTATCCAGTTATCGTTTCTTAGCTCCATTAGAATTTTTTCATCCCTAGACCGAAATATTGCACATCTAAAACAAATTTCTTTTTCAAGATCTCATACATAAATGAATGCGTGCTTAGGCATGTTCCTAGGGTTTTTTTTTTCCTTCTCTTGCTTTTATTTGGTACCTATTCCTTTCCTAATTTTAATTCTTGTGTTAAGTTTTCCTTGCTTCGGGAAAAAGCCATGAACTGAAAACTCCTGGTTGTAACTTCGCTGGCTAAGCATGTCACAAGCATGTCATCAATTCCTTTTGCACAAAACAATTAAGCATACAATTTGTAAAACTTTTAATAATAATTAAAAAAAACAATTAAGTACAGTGTTGCCAAGAATTGGTGTTTCAAGGGGGAAGGAAATTAAGCTAACTGAAAATCACAACTGCTTGCACACAGAACTATCTGCATTGCACTGGAATTCACTGAAACGTCAACAAGTTGTTTAAAAGTTTCCCTATTAAGATTTGTGATGCTCCCAAGAACAGTCAAGAATATATGATTTACTTACGGGGTCCGATTTGTTTGGAGAGAACAGATAAAATCCTAGAAGAAATAGAGAAGAATGGAGAAAGATAAAACAAGTTACATCTAAAAAGGGTAGATATAAAATGTTACCGAAAAACGAGAATATTTGTAGCTCAAGGTTTGAATTGAGGAGTCCTTGGTGCTCTCTGAGATCGGTTGTTTTCTTGCAGAGGTTTCATGACCCAACTAGGTAAAATAATTCTATGTTACTAGGTGGTGGCACTGATGATGTTACCTAGTTGGGTACTAAAACGTCTACAAGAAAACAACCAAGCTCGGAGTGCACAAAGGACAAAACTCATTTCATAAATTGCGGTCATAAATAGAGGACTACCTGAACCGAATAATCTCTCCAGAGAAGTAAAACTGGCTTATACGCAACCTGGGACAGATCAAGAGGCAACTTGATGCGTCCGGTTTTGTGATGCTGCAATACACACTTTTGAGTCTTTGGTATCTCCACCACAACCATTGTGCACATCAGTGATGCCGCAAGGCATTGTGCTGCTTGCATGGTGACATCTCAACCCAGGTTCTGTCCTTTTGTCCAGATCTGTTTACTGCCAATGTTTCTGCAGTATTTCACCTTAAACCCCCATTTCATTAACAAAACAGTGGCAAGTTCTTACCCAAAATAGCAAAGATGACCATGAAGAAAAGCAAAAGGAGTAGAATATCAATGAAGGGAGGAAGAGACTGGAAAATCTGACGAAGGTTTCTGGGGAAAAACAAAAAAGCAAAACAAAAAACAGTAGCTCTTTGAAAGAAAAATCTCCCTCCGCGTCGGTTGTTCCATGCCTTAACAACCTCCGGCGAGATGCCGAAAGAGTAAAATTCAAATCCACCCTTGGCACAAAGCCAGTGAAGGAGCACTTCTTGCCAAGAGCATCACAGCAGACTGTTACCTTCTCACCGCTCCACAATAGCGACAATCCACCAGGAAGATGCACCGCAAGGCTCGGGTGATCCGAAGGTGGGAGGTCTGGCGCACCAACACCACGACCGCTTCCACAAACTGCAGGAAGAGGACGCAGGTCTGCCGGGGGAGAAGAAGAAGAAAGACGGAGAAGGGCTCAGGTGTGGTGGAGTGTAGTCTGGATTCCCAGGAGGGAGGGATTCAAGGACTGTGTCAACGCTGCTAACATCGGATGTTCTTGCTTTGACAACAGATGGAGATGCAGCCATTTTCCTTCTTACCTTTTACTCTTAAGAGTTAGAATTAGATGATACTGGGGGGGGGGGAAGAGGAGGAATGTGCACAGGAATTTAGCTAGATATAACAATCTTGTAACTAGCGTGAGAACCAAGGTTTTCCGAAAAAAGAGATAAGAATTGGCAGGCTGGAGAACTAGAGGGAAAGCCTGCGTTTCAAACTAATTGAAGAACGTGATTTATGACTGTTAATTAGAGGAGAGGAATTCAGATTTTGGCTTCGCCTATGTACGTGCCGATGCTATGCTATTCGAATAAAGATTCTTTAAGGTAAACAATGCCTCAAAGTTCTTTGAAGAGTTTCATCTGTCAGAACTATGACAGACTGCCTGTATCAATACTACTACTTTAGTATTTTTTTTATGCCGTCTTGTTTCCTGACCCGGCTTTCAAATATATCCACAAGAAACGAGAATAAACCCAGTGGCATGTATTTCCAGGTAAAAATGCCAGCCGACTTTTTGCTAGATAAGGTATGGGTTTACCTTGACCATGGTCCTTTTGTGCCGGATGTAGGTATGGCAGCCCAGCCATCTTAACTTCATGGAGAGCTCAAACAGCACAACTGTCAAGGCAAACAGCTCCAGGGTGGCGTGGACCTGAAACCAGACGAGGGAAGAGTGAGAGATGAGGATCCATGTTCTTCAGCTCATTCGTAAAACCATTTCAGACAAATGGCTGCCCAGTCTCTTCTTAAAATCTTCCAGTGTTGGAGCATTCACAACTTCTAGTGGCAAGCCGTTCCACTGATTGTTTGCACTGTCAAGGAAATTCCTCCTTAGTTCTAAGTTGCTTCTCTCCTTTGATTAGTTTCCATCCGTTGCTTCTTCTCCTGCCTTCAGGTATTTTGGAGAATAGGTGGACCCCCTCCTGTTCTTTGTAACAGCCCCTACGTATCCTTGTCCCCGTATCCTCTCGGCCGCCTCCTCCCTCCCCTTCCCAGGAACTACGTACGTAAATGCCGAGGCGGAATATGGCTACTGCGGGGGCTTCGCAGAGAGACAGCAATAAGAGCAACAGAGCCGTGGTTAGCTCCATCAGATAGAAGAGATGATTGTGAACAAAGAGGTAGGAAGCCAGGGCTTTGGGGTCCTTGGGATGAGTGACGAATTTATCATTGTTCTCGCCTTCCTGGAATATTTGGGGAGGGGGGAGAAGAGGAAGAAAGAATATACAGTTAGGGCACAAACGCCAAATAAAAAATACAAGCGAAATGTTTTCAAAGAAATAAAACCCTCGCAGTTGCCTTTTGGAAAAAGCACCTTTGGGACAACCATGACCTGGATGAATTGAGAATCTTCACAAACATCCAACCTGGGTGGTCTTGGATGGGTGGACTTCAACTTCCAGAATTCTTAGCACCAGTTCCTCGGGTTGGGGGATTCTGGGATTCCCATCCGTCCTCTCATTTCTCTTCTACCTCGTTTCCCCCCTCCCCTCCCCAAAGGATGGTGGCCAAACCTGTAGGTAAATTGCAGCCTCCTGATAATTCATTTCCCAATTTCGTCTTCCACGGTCCCACTGAGAGCATCGGTTTCCAGTCGCTGGGCTGGACATCTCCTGGATCTCGTCATAGTTGACTCCATCTTGACGGAAAGCAGGGAGGAAAGATTGTAAGCTCCAGGCAACTACATTTTCGGCCTGTTTGTTCCTAAGACATTCCCTTCTCAAGGGAGGCAAGACCCTCTTATGTTAAAATTGTGGTGGGTGTGTTTGAGAGAGAGAGGTTTGTGTCCCCAGAGACTTGTCAAGTTCCTAGACCTCATGAAGGAAAGTGAGGTCATCTAGGCGGAGTTGAGAAATACCTGAATATAGAATATAGAGGATAGGATAGGATGAAGAGAAATGGAATGGAATGGAATAGAATAACAGAAGGAACCTTGGAGGTCTTCTAGTCCAACCCCCTGCTCAGGCAGGAACTCCTATACCATTTCAGACAAGCGGGTGTCCAATCTCTTCTTAAAATCTTCTAGGAGCACCCACAACTTCTGGAGGCAAGCTGTTCCACTGGTTAACTGTTCTGTCAAAACATTTCTCCTTATTTCTTTAGCCTTCAGACCCTTTATTATCTTTCTTGCTCTTCTCTGCACACTTTCTAGGGTCTCAGCATCTTTTTTGTTAATTGTTAATTAATTGTTCTAGTTCCCTAAGCGCTCATCATATCATTTGCCACCGTAAACAGCTAGAACCAAACGGGCTTTCAGGAATTCACCAGCGAGAGACAAAAACAAGACATATACTTCCCGATTGCGTGGTGCGCTTTGCATAAGCAGATGTACCCTGACATTTTCTTATTTCCTTTGGGCCAGATTTGTTTATTTTTTTTTTTCTGCCTCCGCATTCTGATTCATCCTGCTCTCAGGATCTCTTTGCAGAGACTCAAGCTGAAAAAGGAGTCAATTAGCTTTTTTTTTTTTTTTTAAATCTACTCTTTGTTCCTAACTGGATAGTATAGCCATTGTCCCTCGGCTGGCCCGGGTGACAAAAACCATGTGTTTTTCATCACACAGGTTCGCTTCCCTGATTTTTATCCAGAGGGTTTCCAGCTCTGCTTTTCTGCCAATAGATGGCATTGAAGGGTGATGAGAAAATAACAAGTAGGCCTTTGGGCACCACGCCGGCCGTTTTAAAAACAAGATGAAGAATTGGAAAATAAAGTCTTGGGGATGTACCTATGCACCGTGCTTTCCTTCCACACTAAGGACCCAGAATCATAGGTTGGAAGGGACCTCGGAGGTCTTCTAGTCCAACCCCTTGCTCAAGGCAGGAGATCTTATATCATCCAGGTCAAACGCTTGTCCAGTCTATTTTTGAAAACCATCAGTGATGGAGGTCCCAACAGCCCCAGGCCCCCAGCACTGATGATGTTACCTAGTTAGGGTAATGAAACGTTTGCAAGAAAAAAAAAAGCAAGCTCAGAGAGCACCAAGGACCCCTCATTTCAACCCTGAGTTACAAATATTCTCCTTTTTAGTATCTAGTATCTGTCAGTCTGTCATCTCAGTCTCTATCTATCTATTTATCCACCTATCTCTCTACCTACCTACCTACCTAGCACCTATCAATCTATCCATCTATATCTATCTATCCATCTCTCTCTCTCACTCTGTCTATCCATCTATCCATCATCTTTCTACCTATCTATCCATCATCCATCATCTATTCCCCATCTGCCTTTCTCTCTATCATATATCCCATGTCTGCCTCTGTCTGTCTGTCTGTCTGTCTGTCTGTCTCTATATCTCTATCTCTCCATCCTTCATTTCAACCCTGAGCTATAAAGACTCTATTGGTACCAGGTCTCTTTCTCCCCCTGTCCACTTCAGCCTCCTAAAGCAAGACAGCCCCCTCCACAGCCGAAGCACCCCGGAATGCTGTTCTCCGGACGCACATTCCCCCCTGAAAGACCCCCACCCCCTTTTCCTCTCTCTCCGAAGCCACGCAGAGCCCCCTCCACACCCCACACCCCAGAAGCAATTGCCGCAGCTTGCAAAGCGCCTCCCAGCCGACCTGGGAAGAAGTGGAGGGGGGGGGGGCGAGGCGGTGGAGAGAGACGGCAAAGTTGGCTTACTTTCGTTGGGGACCCCCTCCGGCTCGCCCCTCCGGCTCCTGCTCTCCTCTAAGGTTAAAATGAGGGGGACGTCGTCCTCTTCCAGAAACCCAGCCATGGGAGAAGCCCACCGGGGCTGCTGCTGCTGCACGGGGGAAGCGCTGCTTCTTCCTTTGCAAGCGTTTGGATCAAAGCCCAGGCCCGTCTCGGCGCTCTGCCGGCCTCCCCATGATCTTGGCCAACGCGTGTCGGTAAAAAAAAAAAAGTCCCGGGTCGTTTGCAAAGCAAGCCAAAGCAAAGCAAGCTTGGAGCTCCGGAGCTCTCCCGTCCGGGCCTCGGCAGCCCTTCCCAGGACTTAGGAAGGGGAGAGTCCAGCAAGGAGGAGGAGGAGGAGGAAGCAGCCAGACGAGAGTCCAAAGGAGGCGGGGAAGGAGGCGAGCAAGGGCAGCCCGTCCATAAAGCGTGAGAACCTGGAGCTCCGCTGGGGAGTCGGCTTCTTTTCCTTCGTTCCTCTCCGCGGGCTTTTTTTTCAGCCAAGCTGTTCTAAATCAAGGTTTGCATCATCGTGGCCGGCTCAGAAAAGCCCTCCAGGGGGCTGCGGTGGTCGTTCAAAATAAAAGTTTTTTTTTCTCCCTTTTGCAATATGGGCTCCATCTTCAGTTTCTCCCCCGCCACACACACACACACACACACACACAATCCCTCCGACCTTGCAAATGTGCCTTGCTAAAAAAAAAAAAAAAAAAAGCAAAAGTGGGCGAAGGGGCTGGCTGGGACGTTGGGGCTCGGTTTGAACCGGGCTTGGACCGGGCGTCTCTGGGTCCCGCGGGTGCAAAGCTTGCCGACGACCTTTTGCAGAGTCAGGGACTTTTATTTTGCGGCTTGGTCGGAAGGAAGCGAGGCATTGCAACCCTGGGGTGCGGGGGGAAGACCATCTCTTTTTTTTAATTAAAAAAATGCATTTGAACGTTGCAATGCAAAAAACAGGTTAAGTTCTCATCCTTACGATTGCACAACTCATCTCCCAAACCTGCAGCCTTGGAAGGATGTGGGACGACAACTTCCATCATCCCCAACCAGCATGTAGGCGGGGAAAAAGAAGGGTAGCTATTTAATTAATGTCTCCACTCTACATGCAGTATAAACAGCGTCCTTTTGGTACCCGGAAGTTGCGGTGGAATCTCTGCTTGCCGCCTTCCCTAGAGGCTTTAGAAACGCGCATGCGCTGTTAGCCTGCCCTTTTCCGACGTCCTGTCCTGGAATGCGCTACGCCTCTAACAGAGTGGATAGGGAAACAAAATGGCTGCCTGCAAGCTCCGGTTCTCCATCAGGGTTCCCCCATTTGAACGGGCAGAATGAGCCCTATATAAAAATGAACAAAAGTCATTTGCGTATCTGGCCAACAGCTTGTTTACAAGTTCGTCGACTTTCAGACGATAAGTATCCCTCGCTTTCCATTTGGCCTCCCAGTAAAGGTCAACTGACAAAACCGAAGTCTCTTCCACACTACTACCTTGCCTCCCTCAAGCGGCACGTGAAGAGGTGGTGGGAGGAGCAAGGCTCCGATCCGTTGACGCCTCTGATTGGCCAAGTCTTGGCTTACCGGAACGACCACAGTGGGAGCAACGAGGGCTTCGATTGGCTAGCTGAAACTTCGCCTCTCGCGCGGCCAGGGTTGCCGGGCAACCCGGGGACTCGGCTTTAACTTGCCGAAAGGGAAGCCGTTGTCATGGTAACCTACGGGTCCCTTCGCTGTTGGGTCAGGTAGAGCTGCAAAAATTAAAAATTGCAGTGGTTGCTTTTCAAAGGGAGGGGGATATTTATTTCTATTTTTACATTCATTGATAATTTATCATTTTATAACACTACAGATCCTTGTATTATGTTATTTTATTATTATGCAGCATCGCATTCCGTTTCTGTTCTATTCCTAGTTTTATTATGATGGGTCAGCCAGGTGTTTAGGCTGGATTTGACATTTTTATCCACCTACAGGGTACAGTACTATATTATTATTATTATTATTATTATTATTATTATTATTATTATTATTATTATTATTATTATACAAAACAACAACAATAATAGTAAGTACTTGATAGGTAGACAAAAATGCCAAATCCAGTCTGAACATCTGGCTGACTGTGCAATGATTAATAACAACAACAACAACAACAACAACAACACCTGGCTGTGTGATGAACAAATAATAATAATAATAATAATAATAATAATTTGTTCATCACACAGCCAGGTGTTCAAATTGGATTTGGTATTTTTGTTCATCTGTCAAGTTCTTCCCAAGAACCTGAAATAGGCAGATTTAATAATATTAAAGGTTTGGTCCCAAGATGGTAGCTGTTGTAAATTCAGCTGCCTTTTGCAATTGACCGACCGGGATTGTGTCAGTGCCGATGGTGTTCGAATGATGCTCCAGATTTTTATTAGGGCTGGTTGCACCATCAGCCAGACTCACTTTGGCATTTTTTAATCCATCCGTTGAGTCCTTCCCAAAAATCTGGGATTGCTGTTGTTTGATGGTATTAAAGATATCACCGCAGGATGTCAGCTGTTCCAAGTCAAGCTGCCTTTTGCAATTGACTGATGGGTATTTTGTCAATGCCGAAGGTGTTCAAGGGGTGCTCCAGAGGTTTTGGGATGGCACCCAAGAGGCCGATCACTACTGGTACTAACTTTGCTTTATTATTCATTATAATTATTATATGGTTATGTTTACATATTCATTATTTTCTCTTTATCTTCAGGAGGAACTAGGGAGGGTCCTATCCAAGACTCTTTCCCAGGTTACATTTCTGCCTTGGACTCAGATTCCTCTTATCTGACCGTTGCCTTACTGTCAGAATCCTCTCCATCAGAGTCAGTAAAACAACGGCATTAAAACACCTGAACCCTTGTCAGGAAATTCAAAACCTCTCTCCCATTCCAAAGGCTCTCCAGCGGAAAACATGACGACAGAATTGCTTTCCCCATCCTACGAGCTGGTTGATTCCAGCCGCCCCAGAAAGAGTATCCGAGCCCCCTTAAGGATCCTAGATCCCGGACGGACGAAACTGAGCACTGTTGAGACGAAGAGGATCATATCTGTCTTAGATGAGACCATCTTCAGGATAGAATTGGTCAGCGTCTTCTCCCATGTCATTGAGAACCTCGATGAGTTCAGCGCCGTGCTAGGTCCTGACCTTACAGGAGCCTTCCGGGAACATCTACGCCTCTCCAACATCCTGGAATTTATGCTTTCTCACCAGGAGGAAAACTTTCTCTATATAGGCTCCGGTAAAGGCACTTTTTTTGGCATTGTGGATCCCGAGGGTCATCTCACTTTGCAAGTTCAAGGTCTTAAAAGTTCCGTCCGAAATATTCTGCGCCTGCTTTACACCAATACGGTCGCTTGTCAAGCGCTGAGGGACGTGGCTTACTCCAGGGACCTGTCCGTCCATAAATTTATTAATTGCCTGTCTAAGCAGAGGGGGTTTCTCTTTGAGCAGCTCCTCACCACCCCCTTAGAAGAAAAAGAGAAATGTCGGTTTCTGTATGAAGTCTTCCAGAGAGACAAGAAAAACACAGAGATTGCGGCAGGTCTGGAAGAGGAACTGACGGCAGCCATCCAGAACAGGGATGAGGAGGTATGGATGGCAGGATGTAGGCAGCGAGATCTGACTGTGGGACTCTTGGCCAGTCAAAGATGAATTACAGTAATTGCCAAAAAGGGCTGGTTCCCTTGGAAAGCAAGATGGTAGGCAGGGGGAAATTGCTATCGTGTCCCCCTTAGTCCTTAGTCTCCAAGCCTTTAATCATCTTAGTTGCTCTTCTCTGAACTTTTTCCAAAGTCTCAACTTCGATTTTGAGTTTGGTTGCCAAGATATATATATTTTTCCTCTTTCCCCTTTTTCAGATTTTCAAGAAGAACACCATCATCAAAGACCTGAAAAGTCACTTGCACAGCCTGGCCAAGTTTTCCGAAAGTCAAATCCAGCGCACCCGGGCCGAAGCGGAGAAGCAGCACAAGACGGAGGTGCGCACCTCTCAGACGAAATGCGGCAAGTTGCAACAGGAGCTGCAGCAGCTGCGAGCTCAGTTCAACGCCTTGGTGGTTGAGGATCGCGAGTCGGAACTGAACCTTCGGAAGGTAAATCCTGGTGGAGGCTGAGCAGAGAAACACGTTCACGCAACATGGCCGGGAAAGACCATCCTAGAGAATATCCTAGAAAATAGCATTCAATTGCCCTGCAAGTAGATTCCGGTCATATATATATATATATATATATATATATATATATATATATATATATATATATATATATATATATATATACATACATACATACATACATACATACATACATACATACATACATACATAATATTGTTACCTAACAAGACATCTTAAAACTCAAAGACTGTCACTGTTTAACCACAACTGGCAATTTCTGAGCTGAAGTTAAGACAACTGTGAGATGGGGTTTTTTTTTTTTACAAATAATAATAACAATTGACCATTTTTACTCTGATCTTAATCCCTATAGAAGAAATACAAGGTGGAAATGGAGATAGAAAACTGGATCCAAAAATATGACCTCGAAATGATCGAAAAGCAGGTATGATATGAGCTTCTTTTCTTTCGTATAGCAGCTATTTTCCTCTTGAGAAGAGTGGCACAATGGCCTAATGGTAGACACACAGGAGGCTTTGGGTTTGATCCTAGAGTGACAGTTGCAGATATTTCTCTATCTGGGCACAATGAGTAATTGTGATCTGTGAATCCTACATAGGCGTCAGGAAGAGCATCTGACTAGTAAACGCTTAAGCGCCATTTAATTGCCCCAATATCACTCCGATGCAAGGGATTACAGGGGCATTTAAAAAAAAAAAGCTATTTTCCTCTCAAGAGATCATTGGCAAAAATAAGCAGCCAGGTCTTCTAACTAAGCCTCAGATGCAGAATGATTCTTCCTTAACGTATTCTTACCGTTGAGATTATGACATTAGTTAGATATTATGTCTTCACACATTCTTTGGAAAAGCTCGGCTGGCCGGACAGAACCATGCAATGTTTTGTTAACTTAGTGTTTCTCAACCTTAACCTTGGGTATCCACCTTGTGGACTCTCAAGCTTCCTCTTTCCGCTACGTATTCAAGATGGACAGGGATGAATATTTATGTGTAAAGGTGTAGGTATGTACACATGTTGTATATAGCAGGTTTACGTGCGTGTTATGTATGTGCACACTTTTGAGAGCGGGCAATGGATCTTCATTTTTAATGTGTGCCAGTAAAAAAATGACAGTCAAGGTCATCTTATCTTTATCTTGTCATCTTTGAAGATGGGTGGATTTTAACTCCCCAATTCCCCACCCAGCTATTCAGTTATTACAACGGCACTGAAAAAACCGGCAACCGATCCTTGCACCTCTGATGTAGCTTCCTTGTGAGGCTCAGATAACCCGGGGTTCAATCCCCAGAATTCCCCAGCCAGCGTAATCCAAGCTGTCAAAGTTGAGAAACACTTGAGTTATCTGAACCTCACAAGGAAGCTACATCACACACAAACACAC